TCTTAAATCTTTCTCTTTACTTTTTCGTTAGCTACTAGCTAGGTGAGACTGTTGCCTGTGTCGCTATGGTGACCAGCAGTCTGTGCGCCAACGTTTGGGGTCAAAAGTTGGTAAATTTGCAGTTACAGGCTAGCTACATGAACTCCAGAGTTTAAGACCATTTATTCCCAAACCTGTGCTAGAACGAGACAAGTTCTAGACATTCTTTATTGATAGCTTTATTTTGGATGGTCTTTTTCATGACTTCATTCAGGATAGTTCTTTTATTATAACTTCATTTTTTTATTATAGCTTGATGTTCTACAGATTCCTCAGTCATTTTAGACTAAAATCTACTGCCTGGTTTATTATTAATTATTTGAAACCAGTGAAGCCGTGCAGGACTAACATATTAGAAACATTTTAGACATCTATCTGCAATGTGACTGATTTTATATTACTGAAAATTCATTCATAACTTCATCTGTACATAGAAACACAGCCAGCATTCAAATTAGCATAACACAAACTTGCTGTAAACAAGAGGCACCTGCTACATGACGCTGGTGTCTGGAACTCTCACACCAGTTGTTACAGTGTTTAGTCATAGTGCTTAAGCCCTTTACGTGTGTGTGAAACACGCTCCGGTGCTTATGTCACAGCATGCTGTGGAGCAGACGGGGTAAAGCTCCTTTATGATTCAGCCCCTCACCATTCACACCATGTATAAGATACAGGAGACTCATCGGCCTGCTATGGACACATGCATTGACCACGTAATGCACTGAATGATCTCATGAACAAAATATAGTCCATCAACACAGTTACTGTCAAAAGTATAGTCCTGCAAATGTCAGAGAGCAGCCTTCATCTGTTTCATTTAAGTTTTTCAGACTGTCCACTTGCGTAAGACAGGGGAAAAACTCCAAAAGCGATTCAAAGGTACAGAGAAAATGTTGGACCACCAAAACAGTCCCCATTAGATAAACTTTTATTTTTGCTATCTGAAAAAATCCACACGTGTTTCTGTCCATCCTTCCACTGTGAGAAGACATCTCAGTGCTTTGGGTCTGAAAGGATGTGTAGCTGTTTAAGAAGCCCTTAGAGAAAAGGAGACAGACACATCAAACAAAGAGGCTGCTGGTGCTCTCAGAACAGCGGACCGACCACTCCAGAGTCCAGACCTCAGCCCCACTGAATGTGTTTGGGACATTTTGGATTCTTGTGCGAAGCAGAAAAAGCAACCAACTTCTAAAACTGAACTTTAGAGGTGTGGAAAAATATCTCTGCAGATTTCTTTCAAAAGCAGTAATAGAGGTAAAGAGTGGACACACTAAGTACTGAAAAAACTAGTATTATATTTCGTTGCGGAAGCTTCTTCTAAATATAGGTTTTCTGCTTTTTCCTGCACTGTGAAACATTGGGCTTAGTTACCAAGCTGCCTTAAATTTTTGTGTTATCTGAACTTCAAATAATAAGAAGGGCAGAAACTATCGCTTCTTGTCCTGTTAACTTACTATTTGAAATTCCATTAACTCAAAATTTGAAGGCAGTCCATTAACTAACCTTTAAAGTTACAACTCCAAATTCCTTTTACAGTGTAACACTGAAAAAATAACAGCGATTTGAAAGGAAATTATATAGATGACGGGTGGTCTTTGACTGATGCACGGCACTGTAAATGAACTGAAAGACCAAACTGAAAGACAGATCATTTATGTGGACACCCTGTACAATTCAAGTATATCATCGCTGTCCAAAGAAAACCATGTATCTCCATTTTTGTAGATTTTTATTTTTTCTACACACCAGCCGCCCTTTATGGTACGTGAAAATTTTATGATTGGACAAATAGAAATGCTCTAAAATCACTAGGAATAAAACCTCTTTACATTAATGTACATATAAAGATCAAAGTGTTTTTGCCGTCTCCTGTAAACTTACTATTTTGTATATACTTGTTTTTCTTTGGACAGCGATGATATTCAATGCATCACTTTTTTCAGTGTGTCGTTCTCCACTGCAGCCACCAGAGGGCACTGACACATTACACACTCCAGCTTTTAGCAGCAATCAGACAACAATGCCTGGTGTTTCTCTGGGCAAAACCACCAGCATTCAAATTTGTGACCTTCAGTTATCCACATCCTTGTAATCAAGCCCAGTTTTAAAATTATAATATGTGTTTATAATAAACTGCCCTTATATTTGTCCTCAATATCCCACAGTTGTGTTATATGTTTTATAACATCTACACTCTCACAAAAAAATGAAAGTTAATTCATGTTGAAGTGGTTAAAAAGCCTGTAAATAATGAAAAGGCCAAGCAAAGTGATCTTTTTTCCTTGGATAAAATCTGAATCCACATAAATAATAATGCTTCAGCTTGATTTTAACTTTCTAATGAATTAGATTTACCTTAAATGTTTTAATAGTCAGTAATCATAAAATAGAGAGACTAAAGATGTCAGGTGTTTAGCTTTAATGATTTAAGGATATGCATCTTTCTAGTTTACGCCAAAGATTTTTTGGAGATTTACCTACTGGTAAGAGTTGATTTGTGAGAAATCAGTTCTAAAATATTGGGAACCACCTGCAACTTTTCTCCATGTCAACACAGCACTTGTTGGTATAATCTTTTTGAGGGTTTAATATTTGGAATCAATCAAAAAATGAGCGAAGTACCTTTAGTCAGACACTTGGAATAAAAACAAACTATTTCTAGCCGATTGGTAAGTGGAGTCACCAAAACACTGAACACTCAGACGAAGATTCCATGTCACGTTTAAGTATCATCATGTTTGTTCTTGATTCGTCCCTGGATTTTCAGTGGCCGAAGTGGATCACAGGTCAGTTGAGAATAAACAATTTAACTTTAGCTGCGTTAAATAACATATATTTGAAATCACTTGATCTTAAATAGCTAAATGGCCTCTTGAGGTTGATTATGCCTGCTGTTAGTGAGTAATGCCCCATCAAGAGGCAGACATGAATCAAAGCACTTCTGTGTTCCTAATCAGAAACACAGCATGAGTCAAAGCTCAGCAGAGCTGCACAAACCTGGACTCAACTTCAACAGAGTTTCAGGGTTGAAGCATTGCAGGATTGATCCACCAGAGGGATTAAACACCATCGATAACATTCTCTAACAAACACCATAACTCTTGAACAAACACCATCATCCACCAACTAGCAACAACATTCACCAACCAGCACTATCATTCCACCTCAAACACCAACATTCTCTAATAAACACCATCATTCTCCTGTAAATACCATCGTTCACCAAAAACACCATGTCTGTTGACAAATATCCATCAACAATTACATGAACATACAGCACTCATCAACAAACGTCATCATTCTCCAACAAATACCAGTATTCACCAACACTTACGTCCACAAACAACATTCACCAACAATCAATAATGTTCTACAGCAGACACCGACGTTCTCCAACACCATATTCTCCCCAAACATCAAACATTCTCCAACAGTATCATTCACTAAGACTTCACTCTCCACAAAATACCAATGACATCATTCTCAAACACCATCATTCTCCAAAAAAGTTACCATTCTATATCAATTACAAATATCCACCAACAATTACCAGCATTCTCCGATAATAGTACCGAACAAACATCATTCTCCAACAAATACCAGTATTCAACAACACCAACATTCACCAACAAACACTACCATTGTCCATGAAACACCAACCAATTTACTAACAAGCAACTTCATTGTCCAGCAAACATTATCATTTTCCAAAAATACCAACATTCTCCAACACCACTATGCAGCAAACACCAATGTTCTCCAACAAACACCACCACTCACCAGCACATACCAATGTTCTCCAACAAACACCATCACCCACCAGCAAACACCAATGTTCTCCAACAAACACCATCACACACCAGCAAACACCAATGTTCTCCAACAAACACCACTACACACCAGCAAACACCAATGATCTTCAACAAACACAAGCAAACAACAATGTTCTCAAACAAACACCACCACACACCAGCAAGCAGCAATGATCTCCAACAACACCATCATACACCAGCAAACACCAATGATCTCCAACAACACCATCATACACCAGCAAACACCAATGATCTCCAACAAACACCACCACACACCAGCAAACACCAATGTCCTCAACTAAACACCATCACACACCAGCATACACCAATGTTCTCCACTAAACACCATCATACACCAGCAAACACCAATGTTCTCCACTAAACACCATCATACACCAGCAAACACCAATGTCCTCCACTAAACACCATCATACACCAGCAAACACCAATGTTCTCCACTAAACACCATCATACCCCACCAAACATTATCATTCTCTAACAAACACCAGCACAAGTTTTGGATTTGCTGATATGATTGACAGTTATCCATCATACATTATTTAATATTAAGAAGCCATTTAGCTCTGATGATCAAGTGATGTCCAATGTAACAAACCCTTCCTGTTATTGAGATGAGGTCACTTGACCCATGATGGGCTTCCGTTCAATATAATCTAACCACACTAGGTCATGTTTGGTCAGGTCTGTAGTATAGTCACTTAGATACCCTCACACTTAGTGTCCATGCATTCATTTCACTCTGTGGAAGTTAAAATATCACATATACGTCTTTCTGTATTTCACACATTCACATGCATTATTCCTGTATGTTGTTACAGTGTGTATTTACACAATTACACATCACAAATGACCAAAAAACCCCTCATGTCTTTTTACAGCGCTGTCTAAACCGGCAGGTCAGGAAAAGAAAAAACAATGCGAAGACTAACAAAACAGTTGCAACAAGCAGAATCAGAGAAGTGCAGATTCTAGTAAAGAGAGCAGTTTATTTTAATGTAGTTTAATTTTTACTATTTGTATTTGCAACATATATTTTACTATTTTGATGATAGTTTGCGGATATTTGCATTTTATTTATGACTTTTGGCACAAAATCAATCCCTATGTGTTGCTATGAGCCCATGCTTATGCTTTAGCTTTTCTCAGGAATAGATAAGGCTTCTCAATCAGCACAGTCAGAGCAAAGCCCAGCACTATGGTCAGCACCACGTGGCCCAGGAACAGGTACAGCTAGAAAGAGAGGGAGAGAGAGAGAGAAAGAGAGGATGTAGAGAAAGTGATTCTTAAACAAAGAGTTTGAAAATTATTCTACAGTGTTCAAGCAAAAAGTGCTTAAAAAACACCTGTTAGACTATTCAGGCCAAGTCACACTGAAGTGCAGTGATGTAAACCTGTTATATATCTCTTTATTGTTGTTACAGACACCCTATACTCAGTGACTCCATGTTTGTTCGTTATGTGGCTCCAATAATAGGGCTGAACAATACATTGTTTGCTATCATAATATTGGCCTTTGCACTACTAATATCACCAGGGGTGCAAATCTGGGCTCACAAGTGGGAGGGACCAACGTCAAGAGGCTAAAGCTTTTATTACAATTATCCTTTTGATAATTCAGGCTTTATAGTAAATATTAAAAACAGAAACAAATAATATTATTAAAAGGAATAATATTATCATATATGTTCAGTATAGAGATTCTATCATATAGAGGCTTTGTTTTCTATTACAATGGCATTTTTTCTTTCCACTGTGTCACTAAAATTCTTAGTCTGATCTTCATGTTGCTATACATATTTTAACAAAAAACATACTTTAAATATAATGATTATTACAAAGAAAAGGAATGACTGTTATCAAGAGTTATAGCATTAGTCAACAAATGATCATAGTAGAGTGAATTAGTGTTTGAAACTACTTCAGAGCAGATTAGCACTTCTTAATGAAATGATTTATTTTGGGTTTAATTGTAGTTTTAAATTGAAACTGTCAGCTAAATAATAAATAATATTTGACAGCTCTTTTGTAACTCAGATACGTACTTTTTTTGACAGCCATAAATCCCCCTTCCCTTCCCCAGTTTAACCCTTTAACCAATCACTTTTGTTTTTATTGTGTGCTGGGGGATTCTGACCAATCACAGTTCCAGAATTGTGTTTCTGTGGATGTTTTGGTGATAGGTTTTTCTTGTAATCCATCCAAAAGTAAAAGTCTGATGTCGACTGAATGAAGAATGAAGGGTTTCTGGCGTGATGGGTCAGTCCTGAGTGATTTCCTGAGAGTTCATTGGTCAGTTTCACACAAAATGTGGACAGACGCATGAATCTACCAATTACAAAAGGGAAAGGCAAATGACGTGTATCTCAGCCCCTCTTCATAGCTTTATAACACTGGATGTGAGTAAAGTTCGGTCTCGTGATAAGATGGAATGGAAAGGGCGACTCTACAGATTCAGGAAATATTTGATCTGTATTTCTGAGCTGTATTATTACAAAGATAGAGAAACGTATATAGAAACATCGAATTTGACGCGCAGATGCGTTCACGGACCCCAGAGGGTCAAATATACTTAAAACATCTTACATGTATCATTATGCGAAGAATAGCATAAGACTACTTGACTGTTTGACTTGACTTCTAAAAAACTATTTGTTGACATTTTTACTCATGTAAAAGGAATTGTATCTTATTCTGTTGGCAGATAATTTAAACAAAAATGCTATTTCTTTCAGTGAGTCTGTGTTTGTTTGCTTACTCACAAAGTTAAGGTCAGTGTAGTGTATTGGAGTCTCCTGCTTGCCGTTGTAGAGTAAAATGAGAATAGGGTGGATCAGGTAACAGGCAAAGCTGATGTTGGACAGAGGAATCCACACTCTGAGAGACAAAAGCTTATTCACAAACCCTGCAGAGACAAAGAGAGAAAGAGAGATAGATAAGTGGACAAAGGCTGGTATCCCAGTTCTAGTAAATCACAGTGTGTGTTTGAATTCAATGTCATTTACTTAATCTTACAGTATGAAATGTAGTTGTGTTATAAGTGAAGTTTCATGCCTTAAACCCCTCCTTCCTCCAGTCAAACACCCTATAAACTCACATCCTCACCTTCCCTTCCTGTGACGAAGTGTTCGCAATCCCCACCACCATCCCATCTCCTCCCAGTTCCCCAGTCCTGCATCAGTCCTACTACAGCTATGAGGGGGTCTGGCTACAGGCAGAAGCCGTCCAGAACTCCAGCCCAAGTTCTCAGAGTTCTTCCCCTCCCTCAATCAGTCTCCCCTCATACTACCACCACCACGTTGAAGGCATGGTCTGAACTCATAAACTGGACATTTGAGCTTTACAAGATTTAAGATTCAAGATTCAGCTCCCAGATAAATAAAGTACTTTGAACCTCCAATGTGTGTTTACTGGCTGGTGGCTTCTGTTTAATCTAGAAGGCCAGGCCCTCACTTGATGAACAGAGGTAGAACTGAGGAACAGTGAGGAGAAGAGGAGGTGGTGGGCTGTGAAAACTTTGTCACAGGAAACAGTAACTAGAGATGATAATTTATAAGACGTTAGATTGGGAGGCGGCAAAGCTTCAGGCATCGTCCTCCTCCTGAACTTATTTCATTTTACAAATGAGGACTGTGAAAGACCACTAAAAATCCAGACATTTGGGCTTTAAAAGCTCCTTGTTTTTTGATCTTTTATAACCCACCACCTGGTTGTCATTGTTTTTCTATGGGTCTTCTTTTACTTTTTGGGTCTTCTTTACTGTAAAGCCTTTTCTATCAGTCCTTTAACTCACCTAACCACTGCTCTTCTCATTATTTCTTCTCTCCTTTTTCACCTTCAACTACTCCCACAGCCAAATCATTCCCCCACTCTTTTCTCATACCTCCGTAGCCCTCCTCACAGGCCAGGATGATCCAGACCACAGCCAGAGCCCACAGAGAGCGATGGAGCCCCTGATAGACTGCATGGGCGAGTGAGGGCTGGGCCGGGACGTCCCGCAGCACATAGGCCAGGCCCACGAGCAGGGCCATGACGGACAGAGAGACAAACCATCCAGCAGCAGCCTGCCACTGAAAATGAAAAACAGCAGAGTGAGCAGAATGTATATATCTGTAAAGTGGCCATATAAAGATTATTGAGTTCATCTCTGTAACTCTGACAGCTTTGAGATAACATATCAAAGCAAATTTGTAGATTAACATATTGCATATAGACATATTTAATATCTTATGAAAGCTGAGAATATCAGGTTTTCATCTGTAGTTGATGTTCAATAATTCATTACATTCAATAGTCAACATAGAATTATGCCATCTGTGATTTCCTCTCACTTCGCCCCATCACAGCACTTCCACTGTCTGTGCAACAGACCACTTCTACCTTTAAAGTGCAACAAAACATCAGAAGCTATATCGCCCCCTACACTTCCCGTAGCGCACTGCGATCTGTCAGAATGATTTTTCACAATTTCTGCATAGTTCAGTCGTTAAGGTGGAAACAAAGTCTTTCAGAGTGGTTTGATGTGAAATGGGTCATTGTAGAGAAATGCACACACATGGACTTCTTTACAGTGGTGGTGATAGAAACCAGGGGCTGTAAAGCCATTTTATTTCCTGTCTAAAATGACCAGTGATAGCCAGAAGCTGAAAGTTTGCTTGGTTTTTGTCTGTTTTTTTTTGTACTTCATTTAATGGAATAAATATATACTTTTGCTAGACTTGTCTGACTCTTTAAGTGTGCAGGCAATAAATACCCTCGTACTCTTATTTAAATCCAGATTTTTTTGCTTTACACACCTGTAGTAATCAACTTTTTATGGAGCGCAACAATAATCTTTGTTAAAAATGATCAGCAAACAAATGACTTTTACGTTTCTATATGTAATGTTGATAACTGTAAAATATTTAGTGGTAAATTAGAAAAAAAAAAAAAAGTTTTTGGTTCTACTTTGCCTTCATGTCTTCCATGTACCTCTCCATTATGAATGCATTTTTAAAAATATGCTTTAGGTCAAAACCTCTTTGTAACACCACCATAAAACAAAGTCTCAGGCATCATCCAACATATTCGTAACCATTTCCTGTCACAGCTTTCAGTGAGGTAGCTTTCAGAGGCATTTTACGTTTTCAGACATCTGGTTCCTATCACCACCACTGTGTAAATAATTCTGACTCATATGTTTCTCTAGAATGGGGCAGTTCACATTAAACCACTCTGAATGGCTTTGTTTACATCTTAACAATTTAATTACGGAGAAATCTTGTTTTTAAGTAAACAGTGTGATGAAAATGACGGCTTAGCAACGGCACGAATGACTAACGTTGCAGCCCTAGAAGCACAATTAGGGACATGAACTATGGATTCTCTGCAAAGACATCAGCGCAAAATAAATAAAAACAGACATGTTTTCAGGCATTTACGGTCATGATCCATAACTTTTTCTTCCGTATGCACTCTTTCTGAAACGACATCAGGATAGCTAGTCTCTTTTTTGGCTCCTGAAAACCCAGATGAGAGCTTTAAAATGCAAATTCATTAAATAAAAATCATTTTTTACATGTTTTTTTAGTTTAATATTATCTCTTTCAGAACAAAGACACTGAATGTAACACTGACCAGCAGTTCATTTTGCACTTGGCCCCAAGTCTTTACCTGCTGCTTTAACAGTGCTTCTTTCTTGGTCGCCATATAAAGTCCTGCAAGGATGCCAAGCAGATACGGCCCATATCTGGTGTAGGGTTTGTTGTAGTAATATTGAAAATAGCTCTCATATGCTCTGAGAAAGACAAATAACAGATAGCTAGACACATGCAGACATTATGAGACATAGAGTCATTCAGTTAGATGATAATTGATGTCATGACATTGACCAGATTGAATAGGACACGGTACCCGGTATTTTATTTTTTCTATGAAAACACTTCTGTGATCTGCTGTGCTTGACTTGATAGCAAAGCATTTCTCAGAAATGTACAAGGCAAACCCAGGTTAGGCTAAATCACATTGCTTGGAAATAGCACTGCACCCACTTCTAGGGTGTCCAGACAGATAATTTTATCTATTTTTATACAATTGCTTAATTTTTGGCATACATCTACATGGCTAAAAGTATGTGGACACCCCTTCTAATTACTGGATTCAGTTATTACAGAAACACCCACTGCTAACAGCTATAAAATCAAGCAATCAGCCACGCAATCTCTACAGATAGGCAGTAGTAGTATAGGTAGGACCGAAGAGCTTAGTGACTTTCAGTGTGGTGCTGTCATAGGATGCCACCTTTCCAACAAGTTAGCTCATCAAATTTCTGCCCTTGTAAAGTGCACTGCTGTTGCAAGAGATCACTATCGAACTTGTGATGACAAAGTTGCACCATTTGGGAGCTCCACCATCTGGCAGCGTGATGGACAAATCTGGGTTTGGCTGATGCAGGAGAATCCTAGTGCATAGTGCCACCTGTAAAGTTTGGTGGAGGTGGAATAATGCTCTGGGGCTGTTTTGTTTGAATTGTGGGCTCCAACATTGTGGTAACAATTTAGGAAAGGCTCCTTCCTGTTACAGCCAGATAACACCTTCACACACAAAGTAAAGTCTATAAAGAAATCTGCTGAGCTGAGTTGATGTGCCTGCACATAGCCCTGACCTCAACCCCCTCAAATACCTTTAGGATGAACTAAAGCAAGCCAGGCCTTTTCACTCAACATCAGTGCCTGACCTCAAAAATGCCCTTCTGACTGAACAAAAGTGAATCTAAGCAGCCACATTCCAACATCTTGTGGAAAGCCTTCCCAGAAGAGTGGAAGCTCTTATAGCAGCAAAAAGGGCAGCAACTTCATATTAATGCCCAACATTTTGGATTAAGATGTTTGACAAGCACATTTTTGTGTCCACAAACTTTTGGCCATGTAGTCATATCTTTTTAATAGCTTCCTAGATTATTCCTAAATCTACACAAAGCTCTGTTCGGATCTTTATTGTTCTGATACATCCATTTGTGTTTATTCAATTAATCATCCAAATATTTTCTAGATTACTTGATTAATAATATAATTGATACCTCCCTTTACTCAACAAGAGAACAAAAGTAAAATGCTAATAACCAGTAAAAGTTTGTGAGGCGTTTGTTCATACAGTGTAGTAGGTTGATGTACAGGCAGGTGCAGAAATGCAGTGATCAGAGCACCAGCCAAGCTTGACATGACCAACAGAATGATCGCCACAGCAACCAGCACATATTTATTCCTGAAATATAAAGATGGAATAATATGTCACACTATTTATAATAAGTAAAGAATACAGAGGATTTTCCGTAACGCATACACACACGTTATCATTCTTGCCTAAAATGTGTTTTATAGTCTATTTAACTGACCAGTTTAGCTTTAAAAAACCTGTCTGGAGAACAAATGAACTGTACTTACAGTCTATAGAGAAAAATGAGCAGAGGTGTTGTTGCATAGAACTGGAAGTCAATGGAGAGGTACCAGGTCCAAGGAGCACACTTGAATAAAACAGAGAAAGATGTTTATTTATTGTGAATGGATGACGAAAGCAAACCTTTTATTTTACTAGGTTACAAGATTACAATTAAATAAATAGGTTTTGGTTATAAAAGGCAAAAAATATTAGATTTTTTGCTTTTTATAACCAAAACTTATTTATTTATTTATTTATTTATTTTATTTACTGATTGATATAAGCGGTTTAGATGCTCTGTGTGTGTGTGTGTGTGTGTGATTGATTGATTGATTGATTGATTTTCAATTAAATGCTTACTGTCCAGCTTCGTTTCCTAAAACTTTTGCACAGTGCTGCATATATACAGAGGTGATTTTTATACTATCACTAATTATAATGTATCATGTCTGGATTCATTCAGAGTCGTACTATATCGGTGATGGTGAAGAGGTTGTTGACGAGCAGCAGGTTGGACCACCAGTACTTCTTGCAGTTCAGGATTTCATCCTCAGCCATGAACCAGAAAACTCCTCTGTGGAGCAGCGAGAAGAGTGCGATGATCAGACACACGATGAAGAGGTGCAGCGGCTGGATCCTGAACACACACAAGCACACATTTGTAAGTTTCTATCCAGAAACTGATGCAGGATGCAGAACTGTGTTCTCTGTAACTAATGTTCACTTAGAAAATCAACATGTATTTTGACCAATATATGGCCAAACATTTGCACATATATGCACACTACACTGGGGAGCTAAGTGGCTAACAGACTAGACCAGCTTCGACCACAAGATTGGACCTGGTACCAGAGCCGGTTTATGAGGAGCCCGGCCACTTCCTATTTCCCCCGTTATATCAAAAACATGACTGCTAAACGCCAGAGGGCGCCCGCGAGTGAGTCCTCAATGAGTGGGGATGAATGGACCTTCGTGAGGCGCTGTTTTAAACTTCTATAACTCGAGTTCGAAAGTGCTCAAAAATATAAGAGCGGTGTTAAAATGTTTTATGCTGTTCGGTGTTCTTTTATATTAAAAATGTTTAAGCATTTATAAACTGATTTTGCTCAAATGCTCCATCTTAACCCTTTTATTTTGGACTCTTTCGGGAGCGCCCTCTGGCGTTTGAGAAACCCGGAAGACATTACAGAGTAATTTGCAGCTATTTTAGGCAAAAATGATAACATGTATTCATATGCTTTGAGAACCAGAAAGAAAAATACTGGGTAGCTAACTGGCTAACAATTAGCAGGCCAAACCAATTAAATTCAATAGACTTCCAATCCAGAGGCAACTACAGAACTGGCTGTCATACAGAAACTTTAGCGAACCAAAGGGGCTAGGAAAGCATTTAACTGTCATACATGATCTGCCGTAAGCTACCGATTTCTCCAGAGATGGTATAATCAAGATTTATAAAAATGAATCACTGAACAATTTGGCTACCCTACAGCTGTGTGACAGCCACTGCACTAGTTGCCTCTGGGTTGCACTGAAGCTCCCCCTTGTGGTCTAAGCTGGTATAGCATGCTAATTGTTATCTAGTCACCAGCTCCCTGGTAATTGTTTTCCCTTCTGGTCCACAAAGGCTAAAAGGGTGGCAAAAACAGCTGACCCTGCAGGGTAAAGCTGTTGTAACATGCCTAGTGTCAGCCAATTTATTTTTTCATACTGTAGTGTGAGGGGGAAACATTTTTTCAAGGTTCTTGATGAGTGCAATAGTAGAATTGATGCTAGAAATATTTTTTGCTGTTTTTAAATAAAGTGGAACTTAGGCCCAATCCCATTTCTTCTTTTTACCCCTACCCCTTGTTTTCGAGTGTCACCCTAACCCCTTGGAACTGAGTTACAAGGGGTAGTGGTTAAAAAATTGCCCTACGAAATGGGACAACCCTCAAAAAAAATGCTATGCAGATCTAACACTTCGCCCCTACCCCTCTATCTCAACTAAAATTGGGACACCCTTACCCTAGACGTGAATGCACAAAACAGAGGGCTAAGGGCTAAGTGGTAGGGGCAAGGGGTGAAATGGGATTGGGCCTTAGACTCAGAAACACACCTTTTTTTCACAGTTTTTTCATCTTACCCTTCAGGGCCTCTGTATGGTTTGGCTCTGGTTTAAAACTGTTTAACATCTGGTATGGTTTAAAACTTTGTGTGCTGCTAATGAAATTTCCTGCTATGACTGGGGGGCATATACTGTATATGTACATCAAATATGACAGGAAGTGATTTAATATGCTGGACCTTTTGAACCTCTTAAAGAGGTAGTGGGCGACCAGACGGAGGCTGAGTATGTTTTCTGACCTCTGGATGGAGGTAAGAAGAGACTTAGCACTCAGAAGACCACTGACAAAAACAAACAAACAAACAAACAAACAAACATGTTAGGAAAATCAGTTCACACTTTAAGAGCAGAAGACAAATTGAATTCTGGGATTTTCGGTGCTCTTGTATGTCTTACCCAAGCAAAAGGAAAGTGTCCACAGCCAGGTAGACTGGCCCACTGAAGGCGAACACATAGAGAGGACTGTTCTGGACAGCATGTCTCCAGCGCTTATCGTTATCTGTACACGTAAACAGTTCTTTTACACACAGACGGCCGCGAGTGCGCACTGCAAACTAATCATCAGTTTACACTGTAAACCTGCACCTGAGCTTACACAAATATTAACGCAAAGAGTCACACTGTCCCTCTTTCTAAATGTAATTAGCGCATCATACAATAAATAACTTAAACAAATTGTTAAACAAAGTAATCTGTGTGGCTGTTTTCCAAAAATCACTTTGACAAATGGATCTTACTGTAAGAAGGGAACCGCATGGTACTGTATGGCTGTGTTTTTTTAGTGAGGTTTTTTTTTTTATTTTAAATATTTGTTTCTCTGTCTATACCATTTTTCATATTCCATTTTTTTCCATTTTTATTCCTTTGCCTTTTTTGTCACTTGATTCTCATTTATTCTTTCTTCCTTTCTTCTTTAATAAAGTTTGGATAAAAAAAACCCTAATTTACACAATTTTCACCTACCTCAGATCAATTGGCTCATAATCAATGAGCCAAGACTGAGACTATGACATACTGTTCATTATCGTACATGTTTGTAGATGACAGTGTGTCAGATACCACATAAGTAAGTCTATTAGAGATAACTCCACAACTCGACATAGCAAGTGTGTGATGATTTAGGCCTGCAGTTTGCATAATGCTAATTGGTGGGGCATAAGCTTCTATTATCTGTTAGCTACATTAGCCTCATAGCCTCAAGTCAATTTGACTTTTTGTTGAAGTATTCCTTTCATTTCTTTACTACTCCACTTCATTTATCACTTTCATCGTTCTTAGCTGACCGAGGCTGCTCCAGGCGCTGAGCTGGACGGTGTGTCCACAGATTATCCACAGTAAGCTGAGGATGCGGATCCCGTTCAGAGAGGAGTAACTGTGTCCAACACTTGCAGTGTTAAAAACATCAACACTGCTGACCTGCACTGAAAAACACCGCAGGCACTGCAGCACACGACCTGAGAGAGAGAGAGAGAGAGAGCATTATTTTATGTTATTATACAGCGGTCCCAAGAAGTATATGTGTGTGTCATTGTCCATTTTATCAGCTCCACTTACTATATAGGTGCACTTTGTAGTTCTACAGTTACAGACTGTAGTCCATCTGTTTCTCTGCATACTTTGTTAGCCCCCTTTTACCCTGTTCTTCAGTGGTCAGGACCCCCATGGACCCTCACAGAGCAGGTACTATTTGGGTGGTGGATCATTCTCAGCACTGCAGTAACACTGAACTAACTAGTGTGTGTTGTGCTGGTCTGAGTGGATCAGATACAGCAGTGCTGTGTGTGTGTGTGTGTGTGTGTGTGTACTTGCTCATTGTGTTGTCCTCCTGCTCTCTCTCATCGTTGCTGTCCCGCGCTGCTGTAGTGTCCCGGAGTGAAATGCATTCTTTGCTGTGATTGGGTGAGCCATTGGCCAGCAGCGTTCCATATTGGTTGTTTTTTGAGAGGAGGGCGGAGTCAACCCCTGGCCTGACCTCTCTCCGCCTCCTCCACCTGAACACCACCACGTAGATGGATGCAACGAGAGGCACAGCCATCATCAGGACACACACACATCTGAGAGAGAAACACACAGAGGCTGCGTTAATAGTGATGATTTGGCATGAAATCAGATGTACACAGTGCCCCCCCGACTTATTTGGTGTCTGAAGTGCGCTTCTTTAGTTTTGCTATGAGGCTAATGTAGCTAACAAGTAATGGAAGGTTATATATCATGCAGTCTGAGTGCCTAAAGCATCACACACTCAAACTGTCTTCAGCTGTTAAATAGACTTGCCTATGCAGTTCCTGAAACTGTATGACCCTGTTATCTATAAAAATGGGCAAAAGTATAGACATAATTCAGGCTTTAGGGTATGTGATGTACTGTTCTCCATTTTTACAGATATTGGTGTGTCATACAGCGTCAGAAACAACACAAGCAAGTTTATTTGAAATTACTTAAAGCGGAGCACGTTAGGTCATTTAATCGGGCATCGTTTCTCCTCTCACACTGCACGGTAAAGGACGGCCGAAGAAGTATAGAAATTGTGAACCACAGCCCCTACAGACAGCTCTGTCTACAGACAATATCCAGTAAAGCTGTGTTCAAAACAACACGCTGCGCCCCCGAGTCCTGAGCAACAACACTGGATGAATCTCAGATGGCTCCCTGCTCCCTACATAGTGCACACATATTAAATTGCCCCTACATCTATACAGTGCATCATATGTCTAATAAATAGCCTTCTGAGATTCAGCCATGTGTGCACAATTCCAGACTGGACAAAAAGTGCACTATTTTGGTGTAGAAGCCAGAACTTCACTACATAGGAAGTAGGCGGCCGTTTGAGATTAAGCCATTGACAAACTGCTACAACAGCTTTGCTAATTTGTGCCACACTGTGCACTGAAGCTAAAGAACAGGTGGTCTACAGACAGGCAGCTCCATGAGGATAAAAAAATCACCATATTTATTTATACCTTGCAATTCAACTCGGCATATACGGACTTGGTGCTGCAAATGTTGTCTTTTTTGCCTCCATGTAGGAGCAGTGATTATGATTGTGTGTGGTTTTGGGTGCGACTTGGAGGAATCAGTTCGTGAGGCTGCTCAGACTGTGAGCGACCAAAATTCCTGATGTCAGAAATCCATTCGATCACCTGACCGCTCAATCGGAGCTCGTCTGGTCAGTTAATCGGGCATCATTTCTCTCACACTGCACGGCAAACGATGGTCGAAGAAGCCAAAATTCAGCACAATCACCAAGGCTTTAAAATGGGCTAAAATCACGCAGCGTTTGCCTGGCTTTAGTTCTTGGCAATGAGTAAAAGCCAGTCTGAGACTTGCTCAGTCTCTCCCCTTTTTTGTCTTCCTTGCTTCCTCCGACAACATCTTTCGGTCTCTTCTCAGCCTCTGCTGTGATGTCCGTGCTGGGAATACAGAGCTGCCTTCTTCTTATAGCTAACTGAAGAGCCATAGTTGTTGATGTGTGACGCTGTGCCGTAAAGTCTTACACAGTTCTCGCGAGAGGTCTCGTGCCCGCTTCTCCAAAGTTACATAGTGCTATAGCACGCATTCCGGGCCTGAAGTGGCAATGACAGAGACGACATCATCCCTATTACAAGTCAGTGAACCACCAACTCAAAATGGTTTGAGGCATGTGTAATTTCAGTATGCAGTGTGCCTTGTAGCTTGTAGTGCAAAACTAAGAACTATTATTTGGGAGACGGGGGGGAAAATCATGTATATTTAATTTTTCACCAAACTATCACTTTAAAAAGTCTCCCAGATCTTGAATGGAACGTGTTTCTCGTGCAGAAATCTTGTGTAAAAAATCTTGTTGAGCTGCATTGAACTAAGACACCATGGTCAAATGAATTAATTAGTCTGAAGACACGGATTACTGTGTGTATGTGTGAGTACTTACAGGCAGATTACAGCAGACAGGTCGGGTGTGATGTTGTTGCTGATACACTGAGTCATAAAGATGCCCAGTGTGGGGTCAGATATTAACAGAGCTGGCACAGGAGGAATGAGAGAGGAGTGACCCTGTTCAAAAGCCTCTGTGCACACACACACACACACACACACACACACACACACACACACAGATATTATTTATTTTATTTCCAAAACGGCCATTAAGTAACCCTCATCAACTAAATACAATATCAGTTTTCAGTATTTAGTGTGTCCACTCTCTGCCTTTATTACAGCCTCCACTGTTTTCAGGAGAGTCACTTTCAGAAATCTGCAGGGATATTTTTCCACACCTCCAAAGTTCAGTCTTAGAAGTTGGTTGCTTTTCTGCTTCTCATGATCCAAATAATCCCAAACACATTCAGTGGTGTTGAGGTCTGGGGTGGTCAGTCCATTGTACAGCTTCTTTGTTTGATGTGTCCGTCTCCTTTACTCAGTGAGGTTCTTCTTGACAGCTACACATCCTTTCAGACCCATAGCGCTGAGTCGTCTTCTCACAGTGGAAGGATGGACAGAAACACCTGTGGATGTTTTCAGATCTGAAGCAGCTTGATTTTTTCTTCTCTCTCAAAGATGAAAGCTTTAAGTGCTGTTTATCAGATGGTTGTTAGGCTGTTTTCTCTGCAACTTTTAATCATTTTTTGAACTCCAGTTTCGGAAACTCCGGTTTTTTCACTTATTTTGCTTTGACTTTTTCTTCATTTACGCGGAAATATACAGGGTGATTGAAAAAGATTCATCCGATTTCAAAGTGCCATATTTTTACAACCGTGAGGCGCCTAGGAACCAATCACATACCAATTGAAAGAGGGGGTCATAGAGTTTCCGATTGTCAGTATGGCAGTGAACCTCCAACAGCTCAGAGCATTAGTGTTGATGTTGTCCGTACAGCTGGAGGAGGTTCATATTGAGCACTTATACAATTACATAATAAACTTTATGCTCACTTAAACCATTTACAGTTCACGGCATTGTTCTGTAATGATTTACAAGTTAAATAAATCATTTTGAAATCAGATGAATCTTTTTGAATCACCCTGTACTTAATTTTCCATTTTGAATGGAAATTAAATAAATAAAGGGCGGTGTCTGACTTTTTGCACAGCACTGTAGATATACACACACATGTGTATATATATATATATGTGTGTGTGTGTGTGTGTGTGTGTGTGTGTGTGTGTGTGTGTGTACAAACCAGGAATTACACTAATTTTGATCATGATGGATTTCTTAATAGTTAATAAGCGTAATGTCTGTCTTTGTTACTGCATTTCATCCAGTCAGTCATGCTGTGATGAGGCGTCTAAACTGCACTATCAGGCAGAAGAGCTGTAGATGATTCTAAATTGACAGAGCAGATTGTACAGAAAATTAAAAAAATAATGTAAAATGCAACGTTTCTCACCATAGACAACAAGTGTCCTCACTTCCTCTTCAGCACATGAGTCCGGCACACAAATACCAACAAAATACTCCACTGCTTCCTGCATGACAACAACACAGAGAATCATTTAGAAACACATCGGTGCAGCTTCACAATACAGGACACAACACAAAATACATCTATAAGCATCATCTTCAAAGGAATAATTCATCAAATAATCATATTTAAACCTCTTATCCCAAATGTTTGTTGTCTGACGTTTGCTTCTTTAGTTATACACAGATTATAATCTTAGCTTATACCCCATCAATTAGCATTGTGTAAACTGCAGGCCTAACTTGCCTCCAACTGCGTTGAGTTCTTCAGAAATCTCTAATAGACTTGTTTGCGTGATTCCTGTGTGTTTATACCTGTTTGAGGAAGACTTGGCAGTACTGCCCTTTGAAGCCAGGGCCTTTGACAGACACGCACTCCTGCAAAGATCCAGCTCTGTTCACGTTGCCCCCCGATACATCACTGCCCAGCTTTCCGAAGGCATCGTACACTGCTCAGACACCAGCACAGAGATTTTATTCATTTTTTATTATTATTCATTGTAAAAACCATAGAGGACTTTCTCTGCTCCTTTCTTCATCAAACAACATAGCAGCCTAACTACAGTCACAGGATGTCTGCCAAACCTGTGAATGTATACTGCATACTCCGCATGCTCACATTTATGAAATAGAGAGTATCATTTAACTACTAACTACAATACAGTTATAAGTGTAACTGCCTAAAGTACACTTGAACCGTGGCTACATGTTAAGCCTTCCATCACAACTGACATAAACCTATCATTTAAAAAGGCTTAAGTGTCAGCTGTCACAAAGGCTGCTTTTGTTAACTTTAGTGTAAAATTAACAAAATGCCTGCAACTCATCATACATTTCTATAAATAAAAATCAAGCACAAGTTCATTCAACCACACAACATTTCACAGCTTTGCTCCAAATAGTATTTTAGTTATGAATTTTTTAAAATTTGCCTCAGCAAAGCATGGGTGATTCTGTATAATAGATCCCCTAACAACAAGAAATGAACGAATAAATTGCCTCTCAAAAAGATACAGATTTTTTGGAAATCCAGTGTTTTGCTCGTCACTGTTTAACTCATTTTTATATTGTGTTTATTCATTGAATGATTGTTTAAAAAAGGATTAACCCATCCAGTTACAGTAATCCAGAGTTACAGTACTGTAATCTGTTGCATCTGTAATTTTTCAAGAAAAGGTTTGAAATTGCATTAGGCCCTTTTGAGAAAAGGGTCAAAATCAACACAGTAATACTACATTAAACCTAAATTTTGTAAAAAATCTTTTTGAGAACTGAAATTTTAGTGACTGATATAAAAACAACAACCAGTGTGGTAACATAATAATGTGAAGTAAAACATTACTTTGCTTATATCAGTGAATATTTCATTCTGAAAGCAGTTAAACTCAATATTGAAGATGTGATTTAGAACCTGATGGGAAAAAACGTAAAAAATTCACAACTAAAAAATATTTAGAGAAATTTTGAATGGCTGCATGAATTAAACTGAAGTTTCTACTCAAACTTTTCCATGGAAATCCATTGTTAGTTCATGAGCTGGCAAGGAATATCTCTCACATCACGTGCTTTTGTCAACATTACGTTTAGTTGTTTCATTTCAACAAAAGGAAATAAATTTGGCTTTCCTCTCTGCTTTTTAGACATATTACCAAACAAAATTAATATTTAATTAATTGTAATTAATATTGAAATACAGTCTAAAATTATAAACAATAAACACCATTAACCTGATCTTTATCAATAAAGGTGTGGCACTGTGACTTACTCTGCACTGCGTATTCATCTGGTTTGTCTTTCTCTAACTCCATGAGGAAGGCTGCTGTGTCCTGCATGCATTTCAGCGTGATGTTGAAGGTTTGACCTGTGGAGCAGAAGAGGAGGCCAAAAACGAGGATTAATCCAGCCATCCGTTTCACTAGCGGCATTGTGACCGTTCTGGGTTTTTCTGAACGTTTTGGGATGTTGGGATGCCACATTTAAATAATTGGAAGAAGGGGACACATGACCAGGGACATGCTGATATGTTGTGGTCATGCTTTTTCAGCCTCTAAATCCAGCGTGCAAAATCAGGGCTTTCATGAACAAGCTTGCTGCAACATACAAGTCTGGCTACAACATGAGGGCGGGTACTGTACAGTGCATTAAACATGAGGGTAGAACAGCTACTTCTCTTTAGGTGGGACTCCCGGGGGTGTCAGCTTCATATAACCTTGTATCTACGATCATTGGCCATTTTATTGGAAACCGTGGTCTACCATGTACAGTATATGTGCTTTGCAGGCTTATGGTCACAGATTGTAGCCCATCTGCTTTCTGTTGCTGCAGATTGCTGCTGTTTATTAGCCTGACCATTAGCTGAAAGGGACCACCACAGAACTGCTGTTGATCTGATATTATTTGGGTAGTAGATCATTCTCAGCACAGCAGTGACAGTGACATGACGGGATAGTTGTGTGTGGTGCTGGTACGAGTGTATCAGGTACAGCGGCATTGCTGGGGTCTTTACATACTGTGTACACATATTGGCCACTTTATTGGAAACCCCTCCCTTTTATCTCCACTCTGCTGGTGTACAGTTACAGACTGTAGCCCATCTGTTCATGCACAGCTTGTGTTAGCCATGCTCTAGACTTTCATTAATGGTCAGTTTCTGACCACAGAGCTGCTCTTGGCTGGATATCTCTCTGGGTTATATGTGGTAGGTTTCTGATAAAATAGGCAATGAATATAGGTACAAGGATATTCACTGGACAGTGATGATAAAGCTAATCATGTTGTTTAAAAACAATGAACAGATCTGTAAACATGTAATTTAAAGACTGTGGACTACAACTCAGCCACATCTAGCGTATGAGACTGATTTTAAATGGTCATATGTGAGATTAGCCCGCAGCTACGGTGACTTATGTTTGCTTTCAATGCACAGCAAAGGTCATTCAGATGAATTGCATGGAAAAATATTAGCGTTAAGGAGAACATGGACGGAACTGTCACTACAGACAACGGTCAAGTGATAATACGTCAATGTTTGCGTACCCACAATACTGGTAATACTTCTTAAAGGAGAACCTGGGGAGAAAGAGAGAGAGAGAGAGAGAGAGACATAGGTGGCCTATGACTCACCCATGCTCAGTTCGCCCAGTTACATCATCGCTGTCACGAAGCACAAACCAATCATGATCCAGCATCGGCACAACTGAGCCTTCGGACAAGGTGTTGCCATAGTAACTACAGTCAGTGGCCAACAGACGTTTACAATATATTAGGACTGCACAATATGGGCGAAATTCCATATGCATCCAGTTATATAACAACATATCACAATTTCTATAGAACTGCTATAGAACAATATATTAAAAACAAACTGGTCAATCCATAACGTGACAGCCTTTGACTCAAACCACATCATTTGACTGCCTTGATTCACCAAAACACCTAAAAACATTTGTGATTGGTTAGAGGGCTCATTTGCATATGGCAGCATTCTGCAACATTAGCACTGTAAAGAGCCCATATTGTGATAACAATTAACCATTTGTTGTGCAGCCCTATAGTGTAGCTAATAAAACAAGAACAGGAAAATGAATAACTACATGCCAGCTGTAAAAACCTTACAGGTGGGCGATATAGCAAAAATGTAGCATCATGATTTATGACTCATGATACTTTGTTTTTTGCACCATGATATTTAGCTTTTCTGAGGTTTGTAAAGTTGTAATTAGAGCTGAAAGATTAATCGCTTTTACACCGAAATCGCAATTGGAAGAGTGCAATCTTCAAATCGGAAGAGCTGCAATTTTTATTAGAGTCTCATTAGAGTCTATCATCAACATCGCTGATATTTCGCAAGTTTTAAGTAGGAAAATTTAACCTAATAACATGAAGCTTGTGAACTGCTTTCAGATGAATTCAACTAATCAGAAGCAACCAAACATCCATGTGCTGGAAGTTACAACCACAAATTACTGCCAGATTATCGCAATGTGTTAAGCATTCAAGCTTCAGGCCAGAAAAAGTATCCTCTGGTCTTCGTAGCCAGAAAAAAAAAGCCAATATCTCTTTATTATAGAAAACAGTTGCAATTTAAATCGTAATCGAAAAATCAGAAAAATCATGATTAGATATTTTGCCAAAATCGTTCAGCCCTTGTTGGAATAAACAAAAAAAGAACCAGTGGTGCCAGCAGCATTTAAAAAATACTATGAAAAACTATAAACACAGTGATTTTTATTCAACATGTCCAACTACGCTGCACTAAATCCAATAAAACAATAACAATATGCTCTCTCTGTAATGAAACATGCAGCCAGTGTTCTTTAAGTACTGACGATAACCACTGTATGCTCAGAAAAAGGTATTGTGATGTAACTTATCACTACCCACACCATTGTACATTCGAGTTTAGACCGTTTTTATTTTCCGTATTGTTTATTGGCTGTTTTTTTCCTTTTTTCTTTTTTACACAAACATTGGACAAGTCTATTGAACAGCAGCAAGACATTCTAAGAAACAACCACCATAAAGGGCTTCTCCCATGCACAAATGCATCCTCACAAATGTTCATTTATCCAAAAATGAAAAACATAAAAAAGATTAAAAAAATAAAAAAATACACACAAACAAAAAACATACATCTAAAGTGTGTCTTCTGTGGAAAATTCAGAACAAATGAACATGAAGCGATGTAATAAAGTTTTTTTTAATCCTTAGTATTTCCTTAATACAATATTTCACGGCTCTGAAATGGTGAACAGTTTAACATTGAAAAACGGCTACGTCTATGAGCTGTGACTTTATTATTATTATTTTTTTTAAAGATTCCAGTTTCACATTTAAAGACATTCATTGTTTCAAAAAGGCAAGTCCAACTGAACTTGGCAAAACTTCGGCTGCAACTTCTGAGAATCAAACTGTGAGCGATTCAGTTGAACAAGCTGACTCAGTAGAACGATGTACTTGAACTTTACCGATGACTGGCAAATGCAGTGAGACATTGAGAGAGGGTGATGATGTTTAATGTTCTTCTGGCAATCAAGTGCTAGAAGTTCTTGACTATGCTAAAGACTATAAATACTTTAGTCCAATTTAGACCAATTTACCTCAAGGACTTGGAATGGAGAAAACCTACATTCTTACAAATAATGGTTCCTAAATGGTTCTTGGCTTTGAACAGTTCTAGAGAAAGTCTTTATATTACTTGGAGATTCTTTAAACTCTTCAAAAGTGGTCTTAACAATAACGCGTCTCACTCACGTATGCATTGAAAGGCTGAAGGAACCAAAAAGCGGTTCTTCTATAGCATCGCCCTGAAGAACGCTTTTTGGCACCCTTACTTTTAAGTGTATATTCAGGAGGGCATGTGTGTATTAGGGAGAAAGCACATCTACTACAACATACAATACGTATGGTATTTCATTATGCTCCCTGTCAGTAAAAGCAGAGCTGTTACCATGGCAACCTCAGTTTTGACAGTTTCTGATGAGCCGATAAAAACTAAGGAGCCAGACATTAATCTGGTGTGACAAAAAGTAAAGGCAAACAAACAGCATAGTGTTCAACGAAGGCCAAAGACACCGAACCATGAGCTGTAATGCAGCTATGAAGAATGTTTAGCTCTGAAAGAACACTAAAATGAACACTAAAACACCCCGACATCAAAAAAACATGTTTCTTATGGTCCATTGGCAGTGGCTGAAGCACTGAAACTGATAAAATAACAACTTTATCATCTGTAGTGTTATGTTCTAGGTATAAATATTCATTTAAAAGTGACATTTAGTTCATGGAACAAAAACAGACACGAGAAAATAAAGTGAACAACTCGAGCAGCGACTGTTTCTCAAGACACTGGTCCCGTCCGTTTTCAAAGAAACGGACTGATTGTCCTTCAAGAGCAAAAGGAAAAATAAAAAAATAATGACTAAAAAAGAGCATCTGGTTGAAAGGGAGTGAACATTTGAACATTCTGCACAATCAAGCAGCAGTTAAGGGACTTGAGCTTTGCCGATTACTCTGAACTGGAATTCAAACCCAAGACAAGTGGGGCCTGAACTGTGTTTAACACATTCTGCTCGATTCAGAACACAACAGACCGGTCTAGAAGAGCAAAAGAAAACAAAACAAATTCCCTATAAAAAGATCTATTCAACACCCATACAAACATCTATCATAAAGTGTACAAAATGTGTTCTCATAGATATTTAAATACACATAAATCCACTTTCAATATATTACATATCTTTAAACACACAAGTACTTCTTTGTGTGTGTGTACGATATTTATACATTTCTCATATATTTGTGTATTTATATATGCATATGTTTGTTTTATATGTGAGCATACAAAGAGGCCAGAGAGAGAGAAGGAATGGACAATGTAACCTCATCACAATGTCTCCATGATGACCTTATACTTATGTTTTTTCACATTTTCAAAAAAAACAGAAAGTAATCAAAAAAAATTCCGAACGTCCTTCTCACAGTTTTACTTTTCGGCTGCGCTCAATCTCTTGGACTTGATGAAGGCCATCCCGTGCGTCCGCATGTGTGTGTTCAAGGCCCCCTCAGTCTCGAAGGTTTTGGCGCACACTTTGCACTGCGTGTCCGGGATGCCGTGCGTGTCCTCCGGGGCCGGGTTGTTTTCCTGCTGGTCGCTATGGCGACTGAGCCCCGGTGGCTCCTTCAGCTTGTGCACGATGAAGAGGTGCCGGGCGAGGGAGTGGTGCGAGGTGTAGCAGAGGCCGCACTCGCGGCACTGGAAGGACGAGCCGTCGGTCTTGTGCTGTGGAATGTGCTCGTGAAAGCGCACCAAGTCCTCCGTGGTGAAGCTGCACACGGCGCATTTATGCGTTTTGAACACGTTCACCTTCAGTTTCTTCAGAGGCTGTGCGGATGAGTCCCTGCAGCGCTGGCTGGGAACCCCCGCGCCTCCGTCTTTCTCAGCACGCTCTTCTCCTTCTTCAGTGGCTTCGCCGTCGGAGTTGAGCTTGCGTTTCGGACTGCGTACCTACAAGAACACACATATGCAGAGCTTGTTGACTTATAAACCAGTTAACTGTGGCTACACATTATAATCCTTACTACTGTTCAAAAAATTCGAATCTTTTGCTCTGATGGGATCTTTCTGCCTTGTTCTTATGTTCATGCTTGTTCAGGCGTGTTCCCACCACAAGAAACTTTTGATGCACTCGGGAACTTTTAGACGCGTGTCCACTGGAGAAACCTGGGATTTTAGTTCCTGGTAACTAGTAACCTTCTGCATGCTGATTCAACATAACCATTGCACATTCTTTGTCTATGTCTAATTTACATTACAGTCACAGGCTATGGCTGTAATGATCACTATTTTTCTCAATTTTCTCTTTTTCTCTAAACTCTGTGGCGATTTTGAAAACAAATCAATCTCCAAACACTTTGTATCACTACATGAGCTGAATGTAAACCAAAGCGCGAGTCTGTGTGTCTCCTGTTATTAAGCAACGGACAGACAATTTTATCACCCATAGTGTTATGTTCTAGGTATAAATATTCATTTAAAAGTCACATTTAGTTAATGGAACAGAGACACAAGAAAATGAGGTGAACAATTTGAGCAGCCACTGTTTCTCAAGACACTGGTCCATGATAGTCCTTCAAGAGCAAAACGAAATATTTAGACAAATACAAAATAATAAAAATAATCTGGTTGAAAGAGAGTGAACAACTGAATATTCTGCACAATAAAGCATCAGTTATGGGACGAACAGACCAACAGACCAGTCTACGAGAAAAAATCAAACAAAAACAAAACAAAACAAAAAAAATCCCTATTGGAAAGATCTGTCCAACACCCATACAAACATCTATCATAAAGTGTACACAATGTGTTCTCATAGATACAGTACATCCGGAAAGTATTCACAGCGCTTCACTTTTTCCACATTTTGTTATGTTACAGCCTTATTCCAAAATGGATTAAATTCATTTTTTCCCTCAAAAATCTACACACAATACCCCATAATGACAAAGTGAAAAAAGTTCGTTTTGAATATTTTGCAAATTTATTAAAAATAAAAAAATCACATATACATAAGTATTCACAGCCTTTGCTCAATACTTTGTTGAAGCACCTTTGGCAGCAATTACAGCCTCAAGTATTTTTGAGTATGATGCCACAAGCTTGGCACACTATTTTGGGCAGTTTCTCCAATTCTTCTTTGCAGAACCTCTCAAGCTCCATCAGGTTGGATGGGGAGCGTCGGTGCACAGCCATTTTCAGATCTCTCCAGAGATGTTCAATCGGGTTCAAGTCTGGGCTCTGGATGGGCCACTCAAGAACATTCACAGAGTTGTCACGAAGCCACTCTTTTGTCATCTTGGCTGTGTGCTTAGCGTCGTTGTCCTGTTGGAAGATGAATTTTTGCCCCAGTCTGAGGTCCAGAGCGCTCTGGAGCAGGTTTTCTTCAAATGATGTCTCTGTACATTGCTGCATTCATCTTTCCCTCGACCCTGATTAGTCTCCCAGTTCCTGCTGCCGAAAAACAACCCCACAGCATGATGCTGCCACCACCATGCTTCACTGTAGGGATGGTACTGGCCAGATGATGAGCGGTGCCTGGTTTCCTCCAGACATGACGCTTGGCATTCAGGCCAAAGAGTTCAATCTTTGTTTCATCAGACCAGAGAATTTTGTTTCTCATGGTCTGAGAGTCCTTCAGGTGCCTTTTGGCTTCCATCTGGCCACTCTACCATACAGGCCTGATTGGTGGAGTGCTGCACAAATGGTTGTCCTTCTGGAAGGTTCTCCTTTCTCCACAGAGTAATGCTGAAGCTCTGTCAGAGTGACCCTTCGGTTCTTGGTCACCTCCCTGACTAAGGCCCTTCTTCCCCAATCACTCAGATTGGCTGGGTGGCCAGCTCTAGGAAGAGTCCTGGTGGTTCCAAACTTCTTCCATTTACGGATGATGGAGGCCACTGTGCTCACTGGGACCTTCAATGCTGCAGAAATTTTTCGGTACCCTTCCTCAGATCTGCGCCTCGATACATTTCTGTCTCAGAGAGATCTACAGACAATTCATTGGACTTCATGGCTTTGTGCTCTGACATGTACTGTCAACTATGGGACCATATATAGACAGGTGTGTGCCTTTCCAAATCATGTCCAATCAACTGGATTTACCACAGGGGGACTCCAATCAAGTTGTCAAAACAACCGAAGGATGATCATTGGAAACAGGATGCACCTGAGCTCAATTTTGAGTGTCATGGCAAAGGCTGTGAATACTTATGTACAGGTGATTTTTTTTGTTTTTTATTTTTAATAAATTTGCAAAACATTCAAACAAACTTTTTTCACTTTGTCATTATGAGGTATTGTGTGTAGAATTTTGAGGGAAAAAATGAATTTAATCCATTTTGGAATAAGGCTGTAACATAACAAAATGTGGAAAAAGTGAAGCGCTGTGAATACTTTCCGGATGTACTGTATTTAAATACACATTAACCCACTTTCAATACATTACATATCTGTAAACACACACATACTTCTTTGTGTGTGTGTACAAAATGTATGCCAAGTGCACTGCGAGTCTCCTGTTGTTAAGCAATGGACAGAGGAATGTTAACAGTGTCCACTGAGCAGCTGAAAAATAAACTTATCAGAGTCTTTCGACACTAGCGAAAAACAACGGCCCTGCACAGTTAAAAACAAAGACCCTGACAAGATTACTGCCTGCTGCTCACTATACAGCAAAAACACTGAATGGTAACCAACAATGGAGCTAAACTATTACATTTTATAGTCTGGTCATGTTTTGTTTTTTTGTGCTTTATTTAATACATTCTCATTGTAAAGTGATCAACCGATGCATCCTCTGTATTTGGGCAGATCAAGAAAACATACAGGTGTTTTAACCATTCTCTGTGCTTCTTTTCTTGAACCCAGGAACGCACGTCAAGCTATTCCACAAGAATGCAAGAACACACAAGAATTGTCATTGAGGAACACCTCGGGAGCAAAGTTGGACATCATTGCTTTGCGTGTTGGTGCTGTTACCTGGTCTTTATTGTTGGACTCCTCTGTGCTGATGGGCTCCACTGCTGGTTTTCCCTCTGATTCCTTGATGCCGTGCATCAACTGAATGTGTTTCTCTAACATCAGCCTCTTGGTGAAGGTGCGGTTGGAGTCCAGACAGTGTCTGAGAAAAAGAAGGACACTAAATTATGCTGTAGCCCACTGGTCTGCAAGTATGTACACATGAACATACAGATTTTGGTGCTAACAAAACATGAGAGTCAGGCAGGCAGAATCCAGTCAAAACCAAATCTTTTAATTGTAAAACATTTGTCTCAGTTTAAAACAAACAAGCCTTTGGTTTTAGTCATTATCTGGAGAAGACAAAGACCCAGTGGTCATATGTCACGTGTCATACACAACAACTGACAATTCCAAAGCGCAGCCAATGAGACAGTGGGAAACTGGGGCAAAGTTGAGTATGATTAAACTCAGAGCGCAGTGGCAAGGGGGCAAAACGTAGTGGCAAAGTGGCAAATCTAAGTGGTGCATATCGCTCGAAGCACATCAAAGTGAAGCAGCACTGCTCTCTATACAGACAACAAAGGTATCGCCGAAGGTATCGTGGATTTGCCGCTTATTATCTGTAGGAGCCCTTAGGCTACAACACCCAGACTTACCCTAAAGAACAGAGAGACGAGTAAAGAGGGTGGGTCAGAACGTACACCCGCACAGGAGTTAACTATATGAAGATAGGTTATTAATAGCGTGACAATATGCTTTTCTAAATGTGTCGTGTTGTCAAACTGATGGACTCTTATTGCTTTTACTTTTTAAATTGGATACAACTATTTTGCTGGTGGATTTGAATCATTCCAGCTTGTTTGCAAACACAACAAAAACAAAATATTGTGCTACGTATTCCACACCGTGAAATCTGTCTAGTGCGAAAAGTATTGTAATGTTATATTTCTGCATATCACACACCCACATGTACTCATACACCTTCACACAAACAACGAGAGGACTCGATACTCACGGACAGGAATAGACCTTCCGAACTCCTTTATGTTTGATTCGATTATGTCTACACAAACTGTGGGAGGAGCTGAAGGACTTGTCACACTGACGACATGGATGCTTCTTCAGTTGCTGAAGAAAGAAAGAAAGAAAAAGATAAAAAGAAAGAAAGACAGACACAGAAATAAAGTTACAAATGCAGGAAATTTAAAATGCAGACGCAAAACTGCTCAAATCATTCATTCCATACCATATTCTATCTAATTATTTGATAAAAAATAATCCATGATAGTACATTGTTATTATTTCAGGGCACTGATTTATTTATCATGATTATGGTTTATTAAGGCACCCAAAAAGCTCAAAAATGCCCCTGAAAATAAAATCAAGGGAGAAATAAAATGCAAACATGTCTATTTGCTGTGATGACAGAAAGCTTTCACTAATGCACTTAGCTCCGGCCTGTCTGGCTCAGACACTGTTGACAGCGTAATTGGCTCATTCTCTAGTTACTTTCGTCAGTTGCCGTGTCACAGCCAAATTAACCCAAAGGCAAAGTGCATATTTTACTCAGAAAGGCTAATACTCAGCTCGCTGCAGCGGTGTTGAGTAAACTGTTGAATTAGGCATTATTTCTGCATAAAAACACTGCATCACACCTTCAGAACAGAATGTAGCTAAATGGCTGGGTGACGCCCCACCCATTAATTAGCCTTGATTTCCAGGCGATTGCTGCGAGTAATACTACTCTATGATTAAGACACACCCTATGATTAGGGCAAACAAACATGCGTGGTGTTGTTCTCTAAAAGCTCTCTGAAAGTGAGCTGTGAGCAAATTAATTCGTTCAACTGGCTGCCACATTTTAAGTCATTGTATAAGTTTGTGCAATGGAACATGATTGCACAATTGTTTTCTTAAGATGTTTACGCAGGCACTGATTTACGCACGACTACCAGCTGTGCAAAAGTCATTGTATTTTGTTTTCACCGAGTTCTCACTGAGTACTTCTTGGTCTCAGAAGTGGTAAGGTTGCAGGAGGACACAGTGAAAGTAAACATTCTCTGTGTAGAGCTGTTTTTAGTCTCATGTTACTGCTGACATGATTTCACAGAGCAGAGCAATAAGACTTACTAGCTAACTTTAGCTATATGAGCTATACTGCTGTGATATACCTCACTACTGGTGGAACAAAATCAAGTTCTGTAGGGACAACAGCTAAAGGTAATGTTAAGGGGGAACTCCACTGATTTTTAAAATTTACTGCATAACTGAGTTGAGATGTACACAAAGTCTTTTAGAGTCTTTTCTTGTGAAACTGTTGTTATTCTAAAGAAACTTATCAACTTTTGTATGCTGGAAAAGTACAATTAGATCATATTTGGTCATGCCACAGACACATTTTAGTAAAAAAAAGAGGGGCATTAAACCCCTCAGACATCTGGCTTTTATCGTCGTCACCACTGTGAATAATTCTGACTCTGTAGGTTTGTCTAGAATAAAGGATTTTACATCAAACAACTCTGAATTAAACGGTTAACATATTAATGATTAAATTATTCAGAGCATTTGGAAAATCAGTGAAGTTCCCCTTTAAAGACAAAAAGTCACTGGATTGTCCCCTGTTGCGTGGGTGCAAAACGTAGGTTCACAATGAATTAGAGGCGCTACATGACAGGTTACACAACATAACATGCTGTGTCGCCATCATACGCAGTTATATTCTACACTATGTCAGAGTTCTAAATTATTAAATTATAGCAAAAGACAGAAATAAAGATTTTACAAGCATTTTCCCAAAACTGTTTTCCTAAAGTTCCAACTTGAACTACTTTTTAATCCGTTATTAACAATTCCCTGTGGCAAAATGAATGGTAAATCAGAATATTTTGAACTCCACCAGCAGATGGCACTGGTGTGCACTTTTCTTCCCCATTGTTGGTCACGTTAGCATTTTTGGTCAAACTAAAGGCCGGCTAGCTTACTTTCATCGTCAGCCAGGCTAGCATTTTTGGCGAATCTGTGTACCTTTCCATGCTCTCTCTTCATATGTGCAATGAAAACTTCTCTCTGGGTGAAGAGCCGGTCACATTCCTTGCAGGTCCAGCCAGGGCACGAGGAGGCCGCAGACGATGACGGGGGTTTTTTGAGGAGATCGGTGCCATTACTGGCTTTCTTGATAGGGGAGGGGGGCTTCTTGTCCCCCTTTTCTAGGCCATTGAGCGCACCACCATCTTTGCTGTTGGAGCTGGGGGTCATGGAGTTAATAGGCTTGCTGCTGAGAGGCAGATTAATGCCCAGGTTGGGAGGACCCTCAATGGTCTTTAGGGTGCCATGTGTGGACTAAGGAATAAGAATGGAGTTATGTTAGGTTAAATGTGCTGATGTCACACTGAACACTCTTATGATTACTCTATGAATGATTATGTATCGGCATGCTTAGGCTAGCAAAGCTGATAGCTGCCTAACCTCAACAGTCTATTACTACATTTTGCATACAAGCTAATACAATCATTTGTTATACTTTGTGATGCAATGCTAATGTAAGCACAGTGGTATTCTTCCATTGGCCTATCAATATTACCATTATTATTAGAACTCAATCCTGTACCTTAATATGCTCCAACATGAGCTGCTTTTGTGCATAGTGCATGGAGCAGTCTGGACATTTGAAGACCGACACTTTCTGATTGGAAATGTGCTGATCAAAGTGGGTGTAGAGCAAGGTTTGCAGGGTAAACACGGTGTCACACATGGAGCATTTGTAGATCAACCTGCAAAAATACCACAAAAAGTAACATTAATTAGATAATGAGAATGTAGTGCTTTACAGTTAACAGCTAAATAAACAAACAAACAAACATCTGTTTATTTAACCTGTATATTGTTGTCACAATAAAATGAGGGCCTAAGCAATGTATAAACTATTACCGATACCAATATTAAGGTGCTAAATGGCCAATATAATTTTATAGGGTCAACAATTAAACAAACTCTGGTACTTTTAGTTAAACACTATTTTGCTGACTGATATGAGGGACAGTTGTCAAATTTGTTAAATCCAAATTAAGAGTTCAAAATTAATTCCAAAATTCTTAATGATTTTAATGGCTGCTACTAAGTAACTCAATGGGGAATTCCACCTATTTTTTTAAATTTCTATATATTTAAATGGTTAAGACGCAAGTCATTCAGAGTGGTTTGATGGCAGAATTGTTCACAGTGGTGTGATGGAAATCAGAAGTCTGAAAAAGAGTTAAATGCATCAAAAAGCTACTTTACTGAAACTTATCAAATGGAAATTGAACATCCTGTCTAATGCCTGAGACACTGTTTAAGAATCTTTTGTGTTTTTATTTTATAAAAGCTATACATGGCAGAGAGTTATGTGCAGGCAACTGTAAGGCCAAACAGACCCCTAAAAAACATTTTTTTTTCAGATTTACCACCATTTTACCATTATCAACATTGCATATATAAATCAGTAAGTTTTTCTACAAGGCATAATTTCACAGCAAACCACAATTGGCTTATGCAGAAATTTTGAAAAATTTATGAAATTTCCCTTTAAACAAGCTTATTGGTGGGACTGTTGCCAATACCAACAAATCTGTACACTGGAATATCAGCTGTGCCCTCATAGTAACAGCTGCACTTACTGCAACTGCAGTTTACTGATGAACAAGAATGTAGCTGTATGTATAAAACGTTTTAGAGTACAACAATTTATTTTTGTTTCCGCTATTCAACACCTATGAATATGAATATGACTACACAGTGGAAGAGATATCCAGGTCAGAACACACGCTGGACTCTGATGATTCAAAGGTCAGATGTGATCATACTAACGTGGCTGAAATGCAATAAAATGCCACTAATAACATGACAGGAGAGACTCAAAATGAAAAAGGTTAAACAAACCCATTAATAACTACATTATCAATGCATTCCGCATCCCTTTTGTTTACATACAGTACAGTGCAGAAAATGCAATCTATTGAACAAATAAAGCTGATCTAGATTGGATATGTTTCTTCATCATAGTGGAGCAATCACAGTGCATCCATCAATACGCTCTGACTTTTAGGTGAAAGAAATTCACACACATCAGTGCTGAGCAGTGACAAATGTCCTTAACACTATTCACGTTGTTAGGTATAATTATTTTTCATGTCATGGTAACAGGTATGACAGGAAGCACAAAGGAGCCACCTGCTCTTTTCATTAGTAAGTGCTGATGAACATGACGAGGTTCAAAGGGTCGAGAGGGGAAAATAACCTGCCGCAAAGCCACTGTGGATAATGCCTTTCTACACCTTAACCGTTTGGAAAATGTCAGGGGTGAACCGGTTGTAAAGGAAGTGGTTGGACTCACTTAGCGATTCGCCACACTGATAAAATCTGTAAATATTGTCCGCCGTCAGTTTGTGGAAAAAAAAAAAACCACACTTCCTTAAGCACAAAAGAAAAACTAATTGGGAGCATCTAAAATATATTTTAAGGTTTAATATTTTAAGTATAGTATATTGTTATGTAATATGTCGCTCACTGCATCAAGTTATTCCCAGAGGTCGTGTAAAATGACAGACAGTATTAAAAACCTGTACATAAGCTGCTGTCGAAAAAAAAAAAAATGGAGAAGGAAAAAAACATTCTGAAATGTTAATATAGTTCATATAATCAATTTTATTCCAAGTAATTTTGGATCATTTCTGGTGGCCCATTCATCATAAGTGGTTCACACACTGTAAAGGGCTACTGATGTTTGTATATTATGAAAAAAAAAATGCTTACTATACTGCCAATAGTTTTACACTGGTACACTGTTATTTGTTATGGAGAGTATGCCAATGTGAAGTGGTGCACCTTAACATCTGGAGTCCACTTTTCTTAAGGCAGCATATATAAACAAATGGACGGTCAGTCTTAGCCTAACAAGGACACCAGAGTGACTGTCTTGCATCCTCTCGTTACGCATGAGAAACCACAAGTCTCGGTCGGCTGCCTCAGACGACGCTGCAGCCCTGGGGCCTCGCAACAAGACCTGAATGAGCTGATACTGATAGCGTGAATGCAATATTTTCCAAATTCCAGCAGCGTCTGATGGCCGGAGGTTTGGCAAATTTCACAAAGCTGAATTTGGCTTCTTATTCAAAATTCCGTTCCACCTTAAATGGTCCAGCAGTTACATTCAGGCACTTGCACTGGGGCCAGAATGTAACTGTTGATCTATTTAAGGTGGAACATAAAATCTGCTGCTCGAACAAAAAGCCGCTGAATAAGAGGCCGACTTCAGCCTTGGAGAAATTAAGGCGTCAAACATTTAACATCGTTTCTGCCAAGTGTTAAAAAGCAATACTAACATAGGCTTCTCTATATTGTTCAGTTTTGTTTTTACTATTTTGCAAAAGTTTTTTAAAAACAACATCCCACAATAATAAACCACTGTTAACCTACAAAAATAAGTTTACTTATGTGTCTAAAATGGCTCCATTTGAAAAAAAATATTTTCGCAATATTTACCAAAACTAACAGAAATTTTGATTTTATGGTGATATAAATCTTTGGCGATGCCGTCCACTACTAGGCTGACAATGGCTAAAAATGAGCAACAATGATAATGAACAAAAACAAAACACCAAGATAATTTTGGGCCACGTTTGAAGTAAGTTATGTAGAACAATGTCAGTAATTCACAAACAAGGCCAGAATGTGGTATTACCAGTGAAACAAAACACTAAAAGTCTATTCTTTATATTTATGAAGCAGCTGAAGAGTCATTTAAGGAAGGGTGACCAGGAAAATCCAGGCAGAATCCAGCAAACATGTTCACAGCACTCGCACCGCCAAAGGTGCAGGATGATTGACTGTTATGCACCCAACTCATGACACTTTCATTCACTCAGCACTTATTTACTGTATTATGATCCTTTGCTATCTGTATTAATGTTCCAACAGTAATGAAATGTGATTCATTTCTCCTCTTAGTATTTGTCACTTGTCGTGTAATAAACTAGAGACTTACTTGGGCTCTCCAATCTTCACTCCTGGGTGCTGTGTGTAGGCATGGGAGTGAGTGCCTGGGGCAGACTTGAAGGCCATGGGGCAGATGGGGCATTTGTAGAAGATCTCACAGTGGGCGCTCTGGATGTGTGACTTGAGGGCAGCAACGTCAGCAAAGATCACACTACAGTGGACACACCTGAGGACAAACAGAACAAGGGAAAATATTTTATCCATTACGAGAAAAGCTGAGCCTAGTTTATCTGAACAGCAAATGCAGCCACTGGGGAGCTGCTGATTGGCTGAGGAACTCCTCACTGCTGGATGTGATCCATCTGCATAACTTAGGGGTCTACAATGCATCGATCTGAAGGTGGTGATTAAACTGTATCACTTTTGGAATGCTTTAATGGACCATAAGGATATTTAATAGTTGTTATTGTCTATTTATCTACTTTTAAAATGTTATTCAGTCACATTGTATTCACTTTACTCAGAGTGACTTACAAAACTGCAAAGCTGCTTACTTGGAAATACACTCTGAAAGGGGACTTCCACAGATTTTTCAAAATTGCAACATAATTCCGTCTCTGAGATGTTAACTAAGACATTCAGACTGGTCTGATGTGAAACAGCTCATTCCCAACTCAGACTTCTTTACAGTGGGGGTGGGAAGAACCAGGGGTCGCAATGTCTACAATGCAAATATAGTCAGATAGAATAAAAATAAGTTTTATGTCAAAATCTCCCCTCAAAACTATCATAAAACGAAGTCTTAGACGTCAGACACATTGTCCGTAATCATTTCATGTTAAAGCTTTCTACGGGTTTAGCTCTTAGAGGCATTAAACGCTTCAGATGTCTGGTTCCCATCACCATCACTGTGAACAATTCGGACGGTAGGATCTCTAGAGAGAAGCACTTCAGATCAAACCACTTGGAACAACTTTGTTTACAGCCGCAAACTATGCACATTTTTTGAACCACTGGTGGAATTCCCAGAGATGGTCCATAATAGTTCCAGTAGAGTTCCAAAAACTGAGGCTAGAAACCAAAGATCCTTGTGACACTGCCAGAAATAAGACTTGGCAACTACATTCCATGCACACGGATGGTTTGATATTAGTCTAATTCTGCTAGCCTGACAAAACTACGATCATTTAAACAACACAGTTTGACTATGATGGTCTGACTAAGGTCTTAGTCGACCTAACCTTAAGCCCAGTGGTCCAGGCTGATATTGGCCAGACCATTTGACATTTTGCTTCTTCTTCTGCAGTACTACGTGTGGTGAGCTTTTTAACACCAAAACAAACATGACTGAAAAAGGCAAAAAAGCTCGCACTTTTGCCTAAAAGTCATTATTAGATATTCCAATAGAAGAACAGAAAAAGCAGCACTGATATTTACAGTGGTGGTAAACTCATATGTGTGTTGCTGTGTGCGTAAATTAAAGTACAAATGAACTGGTCTTTTATAGCTCTTGGAAGCATCTTGGTTCTACCCAGTTTCTTAAACTAACTGAGAACTTTCAGGCCGTTGTGTGCATCAGTGTTGGGTAGTTCAGGTCCAGAAAGTTAAAACTGACAGGCTTCTCCAGGCTACGTTCACATTACTAGGACATAGTGGCACAAATTCGATTTTTTTTGCCTTAATGTGACACAGATCTGATGTTTGAGGTGTGCTTGGACACAAATTTGATCTTTTTAAATCAGATCTGAGGCTCTTTCATATGTGGTCCTAGATTCGATACATATCCGAAATTCATGTTTTTTTTTCACTGCACATTCACTGTTACCATGGCAGCAGTGCCTAACATTAAGTTAGAGCCAGTACACAATGCAAAAGCAATGCATCGGACCCTTATTCGCCTCTCATAATGAACAGCTGAGAGCAAATTAGCATCATGGCGAAGGCTGTTTCTGCTGGTTAGTTTGTTGGTCATGAAGCATATGGTTCCTTCATGTGACGTTATTGATTAGGATGTGCGCATGTGGGTCATTTCAGTACACAGGTTCGTTCAAATTAATGACGGATAAGAGTCGCTTACCTACACAGATGAGAACCATTAAATTAGGCAGATTGGATCCAAACAAAAAACTGGAATGGAGTCTTGTAATGTGAAAATAGCCCTAGTCAACTCAAACCAGCAGCAGAGGCAGCTGGAACAAAATCCTGGGGAGGATTTTTACTTGCTAGACCTGAATTAGCCAATTCAGGTGTGCATGCAAATGTAGTTACTGCTCATACCAAGATACTATATACAGATGACAAAAATAACTTCATGTAATAGCATTAATAATAAAAAATAATAATAATAATAAGTTTATTTATAGAGAACTTTTCATTTTGGTGGCGGGTCAAAGTGCTTTACAGACAGGTGAGAAATAGTTATAGAGTTTAACAGTAACGGAAGAAATTTAAGTTGAGTTTGACTGTCTTCTTTTATAGGTACTGCTGGGTAATAGCAATTTAATGGAAATGGAAAAGTTAAAGAATATTAATTTTAAATCATATCAAGCAATGAAAGATCACATTAAAAAAGATAAAGAAAGGTAGAAAAGTAATTAAAAGCTAAATTAAACACATTTTCAAACCTTTCTTAGAAGTATGTACCAAGTTTGACTGCCTAAAACTCACAGTTTAGAATCAGAGTAACAGAAAGAGCAAAAAGAGGGTTTTCTGTATTTTACAGAAGGTGTTTGCCAAGGTCAGTATCAGCAGATCTAAGATTATGTGCTGGAACATAAACAGACAGACATTCTGTGAGGTACACAGGTGCTTTAAGGCCATTTAGAGCTTTAAAAACAAGTAACAGAACTTTAAAATCTATCGATAAAAAAATCTATAAAAAAAATCTATAAAAGATACAGGCAGCCAGTGCAGTTCTTTCTAAACAGGGGTGATACGAGTTCTGTTTTGTTTTTGTTAAGAGTGAAAAGTATAACTGTGTGTCATCAGCACAGCTATGAAAACTGGAATGTTTCATGATGAGATTATTAAGTGGTAACATGTACAAAGAGAAATGCAAAGGCCCTAAAATTGTACCCTGTGGGACTCCACAAGACATATTACAAAAATGAGACACGACACACAGATCTTTCATCTTTACTGTCCTCTGCAATTATGGCACCCACGGCAAACAATGGCACCTCCTTGAAACTACATCCTTGAAACTCTCTCATGCTTCAACTATATGGAGTCAGTCATGATCAGTCAGTTATGGACAATGACCATGCTTGGCTGGCCTGATGAGCCATTTCGACTAAAATATTCTCTGCACTCATTGCTTTGTTTCTTTAATAGGCCTTAGTCAACTTTAACTATGACACGGTCATAAGTAAATGACATGGTAATAACTGTGATTATTGCAGTAAATGGAATTCTGAGAGCTCGTCAATGAGCAGTAATTTCGCAGCCTGTTGATAGGGCACTCATAACCAATTAAACACTCACTCAGTACATTTAAATAATTTTTTTACCCATAAATGTGAACTGTTAAGCAAACTGTGGGGAGAGCGTGAGGAAGCATTCCGTCACCAGACACCGAGAGGAAATGATGCAATGATGACAACACGAAGTGATGCAAGGACTGACCGGTAGCCCACTCGTCGCGTGTAGTGCAGGCAGTTTTTGGTGACGTGGGACTGGAAATGGACGGAACGACAGATGGCTCCACACTCGGGGCAGATGTATGGAGACTTGTGCTGATGGATTCGCTGGTGGGAGGCAAAGCTGCACTGGTTTGGAAGCAGCATTTGGCAGATGGTGCAGGTTTTCTGTTACAGTAAGAGGAGAATAACAAAAGTTTACAAAACTTTGAACACTATAAAGCTGTGTTACAGAACTAATATGTTGAGTCTCAGGTAGGTTACAACTGTCAAATGAAACCATTACGAAGTTTGACAGAAAAGATGCAGAAGAAAGTTCTTTGGAGAGACGTCATAGAAAAACAACTTCTGATTCCCTAACTAAAATTTCAATATAACAACTGAAACCAATCTAGTGATGGGTTCTATAGGGAACCAAAGGTAGTTCTTCTATGGCATTGCTCCAAAGAACCCTTTAAGTGTGTGCAGCCTTCTTCCAAAATGTAGACACCTCTAGACAAATTACATTAGTGATTTTCTGAGTGAAAGCAAGTTAACACATCCTCTACAGAAACACAACTTCAGAAAAAATGTTGGAAACAAATAAAACATAAAATGTGGCATGTGCTCCAATATGATGTTCTATTTTTTCTAATATGTTAAATTCAGCAAGTAAATAGTAACTGTGCATTAAAACTGGTTGAAGTGTATTTCCTGTAGAAGACTTACAAAATCAACAAAGCATGTCATTTGACCTGGGGTGCCTAAACATTTACCCAATACTATACATAGCTATTGTGTAATCATACTGCACTGTGTGTGCATTTCTTTCAGGTAGCTTTAAAAAAAAAGGGGACAATTTTAGTGGCAAATTTGACCCAGTCATTTAAAGATATAAGCACTGTAAATATATACACCATCCTCTAAATGAAGGTGCTTCAGGTGTGGAGCAGTGCCACAGAAGCACCACTTTTGGATCCTTAAAAAACCTTTCGAACAATGGTTCTTTAAAAACTCAACTCATATTAAATCAATCAAAAGCTTCTTTAGGAAGCTAAAAGTGATTTTTCTATGGCATCAGTCCAAATAACCCTTTTGGCACCTTTTTGTTAAACTGCAGTCTACAGTCTTATGCAGAACATTAGGCACCCCTGGGTAAATTAATGCTTTTTTGCTTTTCTAAGTGAAAATAAGGTCACACTTACTCTACATGGAATAAGTTTATGCAACTTTTAAAGCAGCCTTCTGCCCAGTGAACGCTGGAATAGGCTCCAGCACCCCCACGATGCAGAAGGATAAGCAGCTTGGATAGATGGATAACTTTTAAAGCAGTTACTTTTTATTTGCTGAATTTAACATTTTGGAAATATATGTTGGTTTTTCTGAATATGTTAAATTTAGCAAACAAAGAAAACTGTGGACAAAAACCTGTCATAAAATGTCCTACTAAATTTGTTCCTTGTAAAGGATGTGTTAACTTTTAGTGAGCAATATGGCGAAAATATAACACCACAATACTCCAAGACATTTTTAAAATTCATATTATGCATCATTTTTTTCATTTGGAACATACAAATAAAATTGAACCAGTAGTGACACATTAAAAACTCCGTCAAAATCCAAGATTTTGTATTTAACGCTTCACATACTGCACAGCGTTAAATCCACTAAAACAGGGCTAACTGTATTCTTTGTAATGAAAAATGCAGTTGGTCAGTGTTCTTTCAGTGAAAACACTGAAATAGACACTAATGATAAATACTGTCATAAACTTATCATTAAAAATTAGAAGATCAACAAAACATCATTTTCGCCTGGGGTGCCTAAACTTTTGCATGAGACTGTACATAGCTATTGGGCTGTAAATGTAATAATTTGTACTTCAGATAGCTTAAAAAAACGACAATTCAAATCTAGCGTCAAATCTCAACATTTCCAAAGATACAAGCATTACAAAAGTATATTACAGCTAGTGTCCTATAACTATAATACGTGTGCTGTTTTCAGATAGTTTTGCAAAGCGACATTTCCAATTTAGTGACAAATGAGACTCAGGTGTGCTCGACAACCCATAGAGGGGGAAAAAAAAATTTACCTGTCCACTTGACTCAGTAGCCTGCTGATAGTGCATGGCTAGAGAAGACTCCTCCTGAAACACTTCGTTACACTCCAAGCACTTGAGATTTGAACGGCAGAGTCTGGAGGCATCTTCGTCCAGGGGCATGGCAGCCACTACAGGGGCTGAAGTGGGTGCAGAAATCACTGTTGTGTCACTCTTTGCCTGACTGCCTCCTGGAGAAGAACCATGGCTTGATGTGGAAATGGGGGCGCTAGAGGTCACAGATGGGGCCAGTATCATCTGATCGGCAGGGATGGGCTTCAAAATGAGGTGGGAACACTGCATGACGACCCCTTTGTCCTTGTGGCTTCTGGCATGGGAGAGGAGGCTGCATTTATTGTAGAAGACCAGGTTCTTGGCGCAGTGGTTGCAAGTGACTTCAATGCGGACGCTTCGCCGGTCGTAATGCTGAGTTAGGCTTTTCTCTAGAGCAAACGAGTCGCCGCATTCTAAACACTTGTACCCACGGGATGGTAGAGAGATACATGCTGAGGAAGGGGGGCAGAGGTTGGGCACATAGACTGGCACAGGGTTGATGCTGCTCAGGACCTTGTTGAAGGCCTCAACGACTGAACTCTGGGAGCTGGCCAAGACTTGCACCCGGGATACTTTCTTAGGAGGTTGGCTGGCCATCATGGCTTGTTTAATGGAGTGAGGCTTGGACAGGACCTGATGGAGCTCCGAGGCCGATGCATTCTGGGGAAGGAGGTTCAAGTTGGTGAGGTGGACAGTCTTTGGCACAAGTTTAGTGTTGGTCAGGCTAGAAGCAGGCACCATGACAGTTTGTTGCTGAATAGCATTGGCAGCTTTGAGGATGGCACTGCTGGCACTCTGAACGGATGCGGCAGGAATGACCGTAGCCTTTACTGTTGTATTATTGGCTAGTTTCAAGTTAATAACCTGGGAACCGGCTGTCTTGACTGCAGAGACTGGTAAGAAGGCAGTGGCGACAGGTTTGATGGTCATTTGCTTAGTAACTTCAATGGCTGAGCCTGCAGAAGTCGCTACCACCGTGGTAGGTAGTGTTGTTCGACCAGAAGATGAAAAAGCAGAGGATGAGGTTGGGGAGGATAAGAGGGAGGATACCACAATGGATCCTGAGTCAATACCCTTCTTTAGACCTTCAGGGTCAAACTCTGGCAGCACTCTGGTGACAGTCCTTTTAATCTGGCCAGAAGATGTCTTAATGGTTTTGATGCGGACCTTGGGAATGACAGGGGTGGATCCAGCAGGGGATGAGGGAGACCCTTTACTGCTGTTCTCACTAGTAACACTACAAGGGCTCTCAGGTTGTTTGGAGAGCATCTTCTTGGCAAGCTCCAGAGCTGACTCTTGCTCCGGAGGCTTCTCCGTCACCTTCGGGCTCTCCTTGGCCTCTCTGGGCGACTCTTGTTTAGTGGCAAGAGGCTCAGGGGCTGTTGAGTCTGTGCTGGCCTTCTTTGCACTAAGAGCAGCGATTGCAGCAATGCAGGATGAGAGCTTGGCTGATGACTTGGCCTTGGCTTGAGAGAGGTTTGTCACACTCAGGCCAACAACTGGTTCCCTTGCTTCTTTTCCGTCTTGGGTCTTGAGTACCTCCTTGGGCTGCTCATCTGTTTTTCTCGATTTCGGGGGATTATTCAAGTTACCCAAAGTACCATTGGTGTTGCCATTTTCATTTTTTGAATGGCTGTGGTTGCCATTAGTTCCTGGCTTAGATGGGCCATCACTCGAAACAGGCTTAGAGGTTTGTGTAGAGAGCTCTTCTCGCTTAGAGCAAAGTCCAGTGAGAGGATTTGGTCTGAAACAAGGTAAATTGTTTTGCCTGTCTATAGGGTCATCCACTTCAATCTTGTCATCTTCATCAAACTCGTCGGCACTGGAAATGGGACTAAACTGGTTAAATGTAGAGCCAGCCACTTCTGTTCCACGGTTTCCACTTTTTTGAAGCTTGTTACTCTCTTTGCTTAACCTGTGGTTAGGCGACCCGATGAACCCATTGTGCATCCCATTTCCAACGGAGGGATGGACCTCCTTGTCTGAAAGGGATTGGTCATTAGCGTCGATGTTGCGAACATTCTTGACAATGACACTGACTCCAACATCTGGGGCCGAGGGAACATGGGAGTCCTCGTCATGGTGAACATTATGTTTGAGCTGCCCCTCATGGTCTTCATGGCCGGATTCGATGGCGGCCTTGGGATCGACCATGTCAGGAATGTCAAAGGCTGCAAGTAGATCGTCAAAGTCCGGAGTTTTCATGTCGCCCATGGTCTTGAGCTAAATGAGCTAAAACCCTTTGAAAGAAACAAAAAACAAGTGAAACGCAAATGTTATTTGTTGGCCATTATGATTCAAAATGACATTTTAACTTGATTCATATTAGTAAATGACATTCACAAATCAGTGTATCGACAGGTTTAAGGCAGCATCGCTTTCAGTTGTAAGTAAACACTGTTCCAAAAGATCTAGGTAGCTAGTTAAATTCTCATTCTGTCAACTCGCTTGCATTACAGAGGAAGCCCAAATTCTCCTGTTTGATTTAATTCAACTTCCACCACCACAGAGAAAAAAAGATTAAGGTAGCAAAGAATAATTATGCTACTGGGCTCCTTTAAGCCAAGGTTCCATGTTCTGTGAATGGCAGCTTCTTCTCTATTTGTACAAAGGAAACTGCATTCAAATCAAACAAAACTGAGATATTATAAAACTAATTATCCATATAATTTGTATTTTAGCGTGAAAATGGATCAAGTAACATGAGTTATGCACAATTAAAAAAAATTCTAGCAAGTTTTTCAATAATCCTATTGAATGATTTGAATAAGGTTGACAGTGCTGAAGTCACTCAGTGCTAAAGGTCTCGGTAAATCCTGAAATAGCTTATGTATTTATCTCTGATCTTCCAGGAGGGTCTGGTTCAGACTGAATGTCAAAGCAGGTATGATTACTGTAATCATATTTCCTGCCACAAGATGAATAAGCTTATTTATCACTTGTTATTACCAGGGGAGGGAATGGTCACTGTATTAATGGTTTCATTCCAAACCGGATTACAGACCACTTCCAAGAATTTTTTTTTCTCATGTTGTTAGGAGCGGGCTTTACACATACAAAAAATATCAATGCCGTATTATGATTAATACCTCCTTTATTAGCAAAACAAAATATGTTTTCCATTAAGCATCAACTGTTACTTGCTATATATAGAATTGCTTTGAATGAAACTCTTGTATTGTATTTAGTCATACAACATATTTAGCCTGATTAGCCTAAAATGCAGTCTAGACCTGGGCTAACTTCAACAGCAAATTCTATTCAAACAAATTTGTAGGTATATTTTTGTTATTTTCCCTGTTAAACAGTAAAACGTAACTGCTCCATCTGTTTGTGTTTTGGAGTGCAGCTTGCACAGCCTCAAGCACTCTTAATCGACCCTAACCTGACAGGACTACAAGAGAGGCCTCTTAAAATGCAGGGCTTCCATCTGATGCATTTAGCCAAATTACTGTGCTGACTTTTGTATCACACACACTCATAAACAAGCCACCACTTTCAATAAGAGTTTTTATTCCACATGCAACTATATTTTCTTACTACGATGTTCCACAATTCATTTCACAACACTATAACCAACATGAACAAATATAAATCAGGAAATCACTACAATAGGAAGTACAGCTTTATTTGACACACGGCTGCCTTTACCTACATCAGGTAAAAATAATAAAAAGGAAACTTCTATATATGAGTAGGCTTTTTGTTTTCATTGCTCATTGCGTGTAGCTATTAAAGTGCACACACAAGTGGCAAAATTAGCTGATTAACTATCTTGCTTCCTAGCTGTTGATATTTAGTAGCTCCCAGGTGACAACAGACACAGCTCAAATAGGTAAATATTGATGGATGCACGATAATATTGGAATCATACTGCTATTGGCAGATATTTTCTTAAAAGAAAAACATCAGCATGGGACAGATGTATACATTTGACCCATATTTCAAACCGGTATTTTCCAACATATTCGCTGTACTCTGGAAAAGCAGACTGTTTAGGCGCTAAAATGTTTGCATTTTATTCATTTTTCTGCATCTACAACCCTCTAAATATAAACACCACTTTTCTGTGTGATGCTAATCCAAGTAGATCTAGTCTCATCTTCACATTTTAAATACATGTACATATCCGCATCCGTATTAGCAGATATGTACATGTAAAATATGTCGACACTGGCGCCCAATAAACCTCACAGCCTTTACTCTATGCTTCCCTCTACAGTTTGCTTATATGCAACTAGTTGTATGCCATGAGTTTCGTGCAACATCATTTCCATGCAGCTTAAGATTATGTTTAACAGCCATTACGGTCATAGCCTAACTGATGTCACACTCCTTTTCAGCCACCCAATAAATCATACCTTTTATCTGGTAAAGTCATTTTAAAGAATGTCAGTCGACACGACTATCCCTGTTTTTGATTGGCTGTTTCATGAAATTTGTTCTACGAAGTTGAGATGGTTGCGGCTGAGTTTCAATGTAGGATGCTCTACATTATGCAACTGAATCTATTTACATGTAGGTTTCAAGCAACTGCTGTAAACCCAGCCTAAAGATGTCAGCACATGTCAGAAGTTACAGCTTCTGTTTTAATAAGATGTATTTCAAACAAATACAATTTCTGCTTCCTTTTATTTCCTAAACCCAGTTGATGGAAATGAACCCAATCCACATTGTGAGAGCTCGCAACCTGGAAAAATAATTGCAGTCAGTTTGGATAATTGCCATCAGCTCAAATAATTGTGGTCAGGCAATTACATAATAATTGTGGCAGGCCTGAACATGAGAATAAAGAGTGTGTGCAATACTAAACTAGCAGGCCCTGAAACTATTTAACCATCCAACAAGTGCCAAAAGCACTTACTGTAAAACTGCTTAAATCAGGTTTACATTTAAGTGAGATCTAAGAAGGGGAGCAACATCAAACTATTCCAAAACTAAAGCAGATGTCCTTCAAAAAAAAGGATGACAAGTCTGAATGGAATGTATTGAGCTGAAGGACGTTTACAGTGTTTCTCAAAGCAGGCCGGTGTTATATGTTGTTATACGGAGGCATGGTGGAGAGAAAAGTCAGAAAGATGAAGGGCAGCTAGGTCAGGCTAAGCTAGGTTAGCCACCTAGCACTAGTCCCGCTGCTGCCTTTATTCTGGGAGCGCTCACTGCAGCCCTTCCTCCATTACTGTTATTAACATCTGCACGCTCTGCCCAGGCTGGGCCAAAATGGCCTTCTCCCCCCTCCTCCTCCTCCATGCACTATACAGACTAACAATGGAGCTAATGTGGAGAGAAATCCAGAAGAAGAAAAGGAAGAAATGAGGCCTAGAAAGAAAAACAACAACAACAACAACAACAACAACATCAAGAAGAGACTGTTTAAAGCCTATATGTTACAACGGAGAAGAAGGCCTTCAGATCAAGACAACAAGCTGTAGTAAAAGACAATGAGTAATGACACAGAAACACTGTGCGCTCAGCCTCAAGACCTTTAAATCAACATAACCAGTAGTATTCCTCAAGGGATCACCACAAACCACGAACACACATATACACAGTAGTGGAAACATGCAAATCAGGTCACGCCTCACCCTCATTTCCGACCATTTTTACAGCAAAACAACCTTCTTCCTTCCTTCCTTCCTTCCTTCCCTTGTCTCTCTGTGTCTCCTTCTGCCACTTCCACAGCCTCAACCAAACACCTCCTCCCTCCTTCCTCACTCTCTCTCCTTGTCATTCTCCTGTTGTAGAATCCACTTTGAGCATGCAGGGCCTGCCATGAGGGAAATAACGGGGGTCACCTTATGTCCAGCAAATAGTAGCAGCGTCCCTGAGCCATCCCAAGCAGCAACAGTGCTATGGTGGCCCAGGCAGGCTGTGTACTTTAGCTTGGGCTGTGGATCATTGCTGTTTCCTTCTTGGCCTTGCCAAATGCTTATACAGTAAGACAGTGAACTGGTTGAGAGACATATAAACCCTTCCATAGTCATGTTAAGTCAAGCCTGGGTCTCCTTCTGCCATGAAGCAGCCAGCTATCTGCCCACAGCACAGTAACTGCATTGTTCCTGAGCCTCTTCGTCTGCCTCAAACCGGTTTCAACCGGTTCCGGTCACCCCACATAATGTCTGTGCTGCAGTGCAGCCTCGCAGGAGAGAGAGAGGAAGAGGAAGAAGAAGCTGCTCGTTTCGCTGTCTGCTCCACGTCAAACCTGAAACATTTCAGTCAAAATACAGCCGAGGAGAGCTCTCAGTGTCACCCACAGCCACGCTGGACCATGTCTGAAAGAGGTTAGTGGTGAAAACGGCTCAGAAATCCACGTCATTCCACTGAAGGATATACTAGGCCTGAAAAACAGACACAAACCCACCATGGAGGAAACCACAAACATGCACGCAGGAGGCTCCAAAGCGGGCTTTATATGGATGAATGAATGATGATAAGATGGAAATGAAAGACAAAACAAACAAAATGTGAGAAATGTGCCTCCCCCCACCACCCCCCACCCCCAGGGAGGAAAGCAAAAGCCCCACGGCGAAAGCAAAAGCACAACTGCCTGCCTCTCTCATGAGCGCTCTCTCTTCAACTGAGGAAAAAGAAAAACCGTATGTAGAGACATGAAGTAGTATTAGTAAACAGGCTCGGTACCTGGCCTCTTTTTGATTCTGCCTCTCCGTTCTACCCCATTCTGCAGCACTGGTCTGCTCTTTCCTTTCCCGCTCTACCTCCCCCTCTCCTCCTCTCTCTCCCTCTCTCTCTCTCTCACACTCTCTCACTCTGCCTGGTCCCTGCTCCTCTCCCGCTATCCAGTGTCCCTGCTTATGCTTCCTCTCGTCTTCTCTTCTCCCAGAGAGAGAGCGAGAGACAGAGGGAAAGAGAGAGAGAGAGAGAGAGAGACTGATCTTTGTCAATTAAAATCAGCTGCATGTCCCTAATCCTTCAGCCATGGGCAACCTACGAGCATCCTGTCCAGGCCGAATGAGAGGGAAAACAAAAGGCCGTGACGTGATCACATTCACATACGTATATACACTGTGGTGGGCAGTACTGAAAAACGAAATGCATCATGACATTTTCTGTGGCATTATCGTAATAAAATTGGTCACAGTATCATTATCTGAGCATATTGTGGATATAAATACTCAGCAAACACTAATTAATTGCATGTTTCGTGAGAGAGAGCGTAATTAGGTCTGTTTAATTGGTGTAGCGTGTTAAATTTCGGATTTAAAGCAGTATGCTAATTAAGAATTTTATTTACATTTATTTTATTTCAAATAAAATATGCTCTTATACACTGAAAACGGACACATTGGCATTTTTTAACATGAGGTGCATTTTCAGCTCATTTTTGCTGCATGGGAAAATAAACTGAAACAACCGTATCGTATCGAATTGTGTTAACTACATACATACACATATATTTGTATAAAAAAACAGGGAAAAAGCACGCTGGTGCCTACCCTGCTTCTCTGAACTCCCTCTACTATCTAGAATGTTCCATGAGAGAAGGAGGTCCATAATGCAAACAGCCAGTCCAGCCAGGCCTCATTCTGGTGGTTTTTTCCTCTCTCCCTCTCTCTCTAAGCCACCGCTCCTGTCCTGCAGGTCACTCTCTCTCTTTTTGCAGATGCAAGGCGTCTCATGGGAAATGGAAAAAGGGGGCAGTATTTCGACAGGCAGCTACGGCCTTTTGTCTACGTGTGCTGTGTGAGCGAGTCTGAGGGGGAACAGTACTGGATTGGAACTGCGACCAGCTGCGGTAGCCCAGTGGAGCGAGACAGAGGAGGAGAGGAATAGAGAGAGGTGGAAGAAAAAGAAAATAAGAGAAGGGAAATATTTGATGGTCAGGCTCAGTGCGAGTGTGTATGTTTCAGTTTGTGCGTGTGTGTGTGTGTATGTGTGTGGGAAGCCAATTCCCAATTACCACCAGACCAACGGGAAGAACAAAGGCCAATCATGGCGCCGAGGAGGACGCTGAGGGTGGAGTGTGTGTGGTTAGAGCTGCAAGACATGGACAAAATACTAATACTGCGATTATATTGCTTCATGTGGTTATTGTGATTTTAAAATGTTAGTGAATCGATAACATGACATGGTTAAAAAACGGCCTGGATCACTTTCACCAAACTAATTCCTTTTTTGGATTACATGAATGTCATGTTCTCCACACATCTTTGCAGTCAGGTGCACAGACTCATGCACAGTGTGTAATATTATCACTAATGTTGCAGGAGTGCCGGCCACAAATAATATGATACCATGGAACAATTTCTGATGCGCACGCGCGATACTTAGTCACGCTTATTGCGCACCAGTAGCTTAACTGAGGCAAGCAACACTGCAGAGGTGTGGGATTATTTCCATGCTTGAGATAAGCAGCAGTTAAAATGGTCACTGTAAAATTTGTTACAGGGCTGGCACAAAAAGCGAGGACTTCATTATATCAAATACCATTAAGCATTTAAAGATAAACCATTCCAAAAAGCACAGCCACTTTCTGTAGCTCAGAAACCATTCAGTTGTGAAGTTATCTAACCAGTAAAGGCCATTCTTTTAAGCTTAGTATGTTTTATTTGTTACAAAAAACGCTGCTTTAACCAAAGTCAAGTCTTTAGAAAGTAGAACTGTATAAATATCAGGATTTTAGGCATCTATGGAGAAGTTAGGTTAGACTGAGTTAAGATAGGTATCAGCAGATACTTGAGGATCAGGTGTCAGTACCAGGAGGGACAAAGAGGCATCGGTGCATTCCTCATTATCACATATACACCAGTCTTTAGGGTGACTGATTTTGTATGGTTTGTGCTGAATCAATGCCAAAGCCATTTGCAGATTGCTACCACATGCAGCACATTTTGGGGCTAGCTTTAACCTGACCTGGTCACCATTCTGATGAGGTCTGGCTGAGGAGCTGCCTGTCTCAGTTAGCTGCATCAGACTAGCTAACGATTTCATAATATTTACTAAATAATTCAAAACAGCTACTGAATAATTCTTAGTAGTTACTGCATTATACATCTTAAGACCAATAACTGAGTAATAAGCCTGTAGTCTTTGGGGTTAACGTAGACCCACGGGATTAATCCTTATATCTACTCTTTCACCAAACATAAAAGCATGAAATCAGGGTCAGCCAGGCTGGGCTGACCTAAAGAACTTTGACCTGACCTTGGTGATAACCTCTGATAGGCAGGGAGCACAGAGCACCTGCTCATCAGCTACTGCTGACACAGAAAGCAGGTCAGAACACAAAAGCAGAATCCCCAAATCATCCGCTTGGCTGAACCTTGTTCGAACTAAAATCATTAGGCAAGATAAGATCAGACCTAGAACCTGAAAAAATCTAAATGCTAAAGATGTCTATTAAGCTGTCAGGCCTATTAATTTGCATTTTTGCTCAGATGTATGAGCTACACAATATATCATTTGCTAAATGTTACCAGGCCAGTAGTATTAGTATTTGCAATACTGATGTCATGGAGGTCTGAAATATGCAAATGAGCCCTCTAACCAATCACAGTGTGCTGTGAGCAGCCTGACCAATCACAGTTCCAGATGAGAGTTTCTGTAGGTGTTTTGATTGAATGATATTATTTTGGTCAAAATAACCAAAAAACGTCAAATTAGTGATTCGCCAATACATTTTAATATATCGCAAGGTGTATAGCAATTGCAATATGTAGGAACATAATCGCAATAAGTGTATTTTGTCCATACCTTACAGCCCCAACATACCCAAACAGTGATTGCTGACTTCAGCCTAATGAAGTCTCCCAAATTGTGGCCAACAAAATAAAAATGATCTGCTTAATATGACAGTATGTTGCCAAGGACTGTAAAAACTGCAAAGTCTGTGTGCCTTATTTAAATTTTTCAAATTACATATCAATAAGTAGTTTCTAATCTGCATTGCGTAGCCTTGCAGCCCTTTTCTTCACCTGAATATAGACAGCGGTCTGAAAAAGAACCACTTAATTCCTTTTTTTTAGTTTACTACCAAACACAAAGGCCTACGAATGACAAGAATGAAATCCATGAAATGTCAATAATCTGCTGGGGACGTGAAAAGGCTATATATGAAGCGCAGGTACGTGGATGCCCTCGGCCCACTGAAAACCACGTCACCTACCCCTTTCCATGAATAAATCAATAGGCTCATTACAGAATCTTTCTTTCCATTCAAAACCAGGAACCCGTGATGACACAGGTGGCAACAATTAGAGCCACACACGGTGTGAACGTGTGTGTGTGTGTGTGTGTGTGTGTAACCCTATGATGCGCTCCCAGGCCTTGTGCAACCAATCAAAGTCAGAATGCCCCCCAGGAACAGGAAAAATCACCAATGACTCGAAGAGCAAACAGCAGACAGTGACCTACCTGAGTGCTACTGTGTCTCAGTGAAAGGCCGGGATGTGAGGAGGCTTTTCCATGGCAAGGAGGCAGATGTGGTCAGTAATGCCTGTGGCACGAAGGCCGGCCATGATCCTTGCAGCACCAGGCTCAGGCATCAGAAGAGCAGGGACCTGCAGGGATGCACATCATTTGTGTAAAAGAGGGGGCTTTTTTTGAACATGAGTGCAAGAAAAAACAAAAGGCTTTTGGAAGCTCATGTGTGCATAGACCCCCATTGCTAGTATATTTGCTCCCAGAGAGAGAGAGAGAGAGAGAGAGAGATAGAGAGAGAGAGAGAGAGAGAAGCCGCCCACCCCGACATGGTCCAGCAGTCACGTGACCAGGTGTCGTCTGAAGTTAGCTTCCTATTCGCCAGCTTCTTGCTCGAATTTCCCGTTCCACCTTAAATGGTGCTGCAGCTGTACCATTTAAGGTGGAACGGGAAACTTCGAATAAGCGGACCGTTCTTTGCCTGCCTCAAAAAAATCTATCAAACGCTTCCACCGCGATAGGTTACTAATCCAAAGACCACTTCTTCACATCCCCCCGACATTTTTGTGGATTTGTACTCGACACGATGAAAGATCTCGCCCATTTTCACAGGCGGCTCTCTCCCATGATGCCTTTCGCACCGCATTTTAATCACAAACGGCAAAATAGTCGATTATAACAACACATATGCTACAGGTTTTCCCTGGTTTCACATATTTGTGATTAGGTGCGAGGACTGAGGTCGAAAACGCGACAAATTTAGCTTTTAGAGACGAACACTAACAAGAAAACCGTCTTGTCAATCCCATGAGCCATTGCGAGACGACGGGCTGGTGCATCACACTGAAATAGCTAGAAATGCTGGAACCGAAGATCCACTTTAATGTCTTTGACCCACAAACACAACCGATAATGTTACACAACGTCCCTAAATAAGCAAGAGAGTCGTGAAAATACCACTTTTGTCACACTTACCCATGAATCCCCGCGGCGACCAGACCAAAACACCCAGCCCTGGGAAGAAAAAACGCGTTTAACAGCGAAACGAGCTGTTAATCTTCTTTAATCGGTTGATTTCATTGCAAAGTAACATCAAATCGACGGGAAAGGTGTCATATGAGTGTTCGGTTTGTGTTTCTGTATCGACCCAGCCCCCTGTTTTCTTCCCTTGCCTGCTGTGGACAAACCTGTCTGCTTCCCACAAGTCTTTGCTGCAGACTGCCCTGTCTGAAAAACACCAAGGGCCCTCAGGAATAAGCCAAGCTGCCCTCCTCAGCCTCCTCAGGGGTTCAGAGTCTCTCTGTGGGCCACATTCAGTCTTTACCTGGCTGCACTCGAGCACTGAAATGTGTTCTGCAGGTTATGAGCCTGACTTTCACTCATACTGAACTCCATATCCAGAAACACAGCTTCTCACCAGGGTTGCCATCTCAGCAGCAGAATCAGTGGCCTGAATTTTTACTAAATTCAGGGAGTTATGCTTACAATGCCCTCTAATGTAGAGGACCTGGGGGTTATTTCACAACTGGATTTCTCAGGTAGCCGACTGAACCAAAGAAGAGGATTGTCCAGTAGGAATGGCCCTTAGCTCTTTTCCTATTGGACAGGTTTTACTTTTGGCGTAAGCTATATTTAAAAAGTGAGAAATCTCGCTGTGTGAAATAACCCCCTGATCTTCTCAGCTATTGTGTTGAAGCACTGCCTATTGTTTTTCCGAAATAACTGTCCACGCGTTGAGGGTAATCTGAACCAGTCACACCCATTCTTTGTATACAAATGGTTTGACTGGACAAACTGAAGAATTTGGTAGATTTTGGACCAAAAACCTGGACAATCCAGGCAAAGCCTGGACAGGTGGTAACCATAATGCCAGAACTTCATCTGCCGTAACAAGCCTGCCTGTCTTACACAAAAATAAAAATGTTTGACCTATAGTTTAGGCCTAATAGCCTGGAGCTTGTAATTTTCTAATCATGGAGTGCTTTACCCACATAAGCTCAGTAGATGACAGGATTTCAAGTGACACTTAACCTTGGGCATGTCCTGTGCAGCGCTGTCAAATTTGCATGTCTGACCTTTTCATCTTTAATATAAGTATGCGTCTCTAAGGCCTCTGAGGCCTTGGCTGAATGAAACCAGTGCTCGAAGCTCAGGTTTAGTTTTGTTTCTTCAGTTACGCACCTGTGAAGAGAAGAAGACTCTATGTAGGCGAGATAGAGATAATGAAGAACATAGCTGTCTAGTTTAATAGAAATTAAGAACAGCATCACATTTGGTTCTTATGTGGTTTTGCAAGGATTGGATGAAAATAGGTTTCATTGTAACCTGTAATCTAAATTTGTGACAGCCAGTGATGGGCTCCAAAATAGAAACACTACTGGTTTACTGATTGCCTGAATGGGAGGCTCTTGATTCAGAAGGTTTCTTCGTTATGTCTACTCAGGCTGGAGTTATGAGAGGGACAGTGAGATGATATAGGGACATGTTTTTTCTAATCTATTATGTTTCTTTCATTTTTTTTAAAATTATTAATCTTGAGGTGCTTCAGTGCTGAAACTAAATGCATATGAGCTTCATAAACACTGATATATTTTAATTTTTTAACTATATTTTTTAACAGTTTGCCCAGTATTAAAAAGACTAGGCCATAAAATGAAAAAAAAGTTCTATGTCTTGCTGTTGGACACCATGATTAGTAAAAAAGTTAAATAGTATGAGTAATTACATGAGATTTGTGTTTCCAGATGGGTCATTTTGGGTTAGGTTTATTATTTGAACCAAGTTCAGTGCACAGGCTTTCAAAGAAGCTGTAAATCTAAATAAATAAATACTGCCATCTAGTGGAGAAAAGTCAGAACTGTATGATTAAGATGATCCAATTCACCACACACTACAGCTTTGGTGAGATGTTGGCTAAAGAATGTGGCTAGAAATGCAAAAACCTTTGCTGAGCAAGCTTCTGATAGTCATGTGTTCTTGTATTGAAAAGATGAAAGCATATTTAAAGAGATATCAGATGAAAATGTGGGTATTTCATAAAGCAAGATGAGTGAGGATTGTTTATCAGGAGTCTCTCTTCTATTGGACAGCCTTGCCTGGGCCTAAGACAACTGAGTAGATCTAAGTCAATAAAAATACACCAGACAACCAAAAGACACCAGCTAATCCAATATTACATCAGAATGAAGAGTATTAATAGGGAGTTTGTCCTCCTTTGCTGCAGTAACAGCCTCTACTCTTCTGGGAAGGCTCTACTCTAGATATTGGAACATTGCTATGAGGATATGATTGCATTCAGCCTCAAGAGCATTAGTGAGGTCTGGTGCTGATGTTGGATGAGTTCTGGATCACTACTCATATCAAGGGGATTGGAGCTTTATCACCTCAGAGAAAGCAGTTTAACTGCTCCACAGGCAGCTTTATACCCCTGGCATTGGACATGGTGACCTTAGGCTCATGTGTAGCTGCTCCAGGTGTCCCATTCTATTGGAAATGCTTTTCTATGGAGATTATACAAGCTATGTATGTTTCTGTATATGGTACTAAAGACTAAAATAGCCCTTTATTAGGACAACAGCCAACAGCTTTTTTATTTTATGACGTATGTTTCCTGTCCTGAACAGGCAATGCCTTCAAGGAATTCCCAACCTTATCGTGCCAAAGGTCACCTGCTGCTCCTGAAAGAGCTCCTTTGTGCGCATCTCTTTGACTTTATCATTAAGTGACACACTGATGGGATCACTCACGGACCAAATAGGGGTCAGCATGGAGCTTCAGGAGTGAGTGATCAGCTAATTCATACTGCTTCGTCGTTTGGTTTATTTTTCCATGAAATCCAATCATCACGGCATTGACAACTTGTGGACTGTGCCGCCTTCCTGAAGAGAACAATACGAATAGTGGTGTGAACTATCCATGTGTATAATACGCTCTTTCACTGGTGATGAAAGCAAGCATTAGCAGCAGTGTTTGCTCTGCCCAACTCAATTCATTTCTTCATCTGTCATATACTGCTGTTTTGCATTCGATGGGGGATTCCCAGTAACACAAACAAAGGCGACCCAAACTGATAGTACTGATGTGAGCCGAATCAACAAAGCCTGGGCAATGGAAAAACATACCAGCAGTGTTGATACATGATTAGGACAATTTCAGGGAAGTTTCTCACAATATCTGTGTTTGAACTGTGCTTTCCGCAAAGTAGTGCCTCAGATTTTACTGGATTTCACAGAGTGCTGGTGTAAATAACAACAACAGCATCATCAGCAACAACATGAAAACAACTTGAGAAATGAGAACAAATACATGTGTATTATATGTATATATATACATATATATACATATAATACATATGCAGTACTTTGCAAAAGTCAAACACTCTTCATTTCATTTTAGTCAAATCAGCCGTTAAGTACAAGTTACTCATTTTTCAGCATCAGCAAAAAGCAAAAACATATGTTTAACAAAACATTGCACAGAAACATCAGTAACTAACTATAGTATCAGATCTTTCAGTCCACTCTTTTCCTTTTTAGCTTCTGTTCTATTGAAGAGACTCGAAGGGCTTTCCGTCTTTCAATGGAATCTGTAGGCATATTTTTTGCACACATCCAAGGTTCAGTCTTAGAAGTTGGTTGGACCATTTCTCAGATATGAAGCGGGAGTGGAGCTTGATTTTCTCTTCTCTCTCAAAGATGAAAGCTGTGCCGTTTGTCTGGTGGTGACAGTCTTTCACAGTTCAATTTTCTGTGTATCTTCTTTTTTTTTTTTTAAATCATATATATATATATATATATATATATATATATATATATATATATATATATATATATATATATATTACTCAGTAAAACACTAATTAGAATAAATACACAAACCATTAATATAATAAGTGATTATATGTACATCAGTGTGCTTGCTTAACCATTTCCAAACCTCTCCTCAAGTAAGTCCAGTATCATTTGTAGTTATCATCCAGTAACTACAATCAATGAATCAGGTGATCAGGTAGAACTGATAGATCTGAACAAATCCATGACTGGAGGCATTGGGGACAAATCTAAAAACTTTGTTAGAACTACTTTTTAAAACAACAAGATGTTCTTGATACTTTATGTTTATTTGTGTTTACAAGAAAAAATGTGATAATATATGGTTTCTCTCTCTCTCTCTCTCTCTCTCTCTCTATATATATATATATAAAAAAAATCACATAAATTATGTATTTCTGTAAATGAGAATCCGTGAGCAACTCTCAAGGTCACACAGCCAACTATTTTCTGCTTTTTAATGGCTTTTTCCACACTGTCACAACTGACAAAAGACACTTAGTCATGGTGGGTGGGAGTCAAAAGCCAAACTGATGAATATAAATTATATTTTTGGTTAAATAAATATATTAAATGACATTTTGCTGACACACCACGCAATAGCCCCAGAGCCCGATAATAACCGTTATTTATTTCCCACCCGTATTCAGGCACGTCCCAGCCCTCTAGACCTGGGATTGGCTAGCTTGCTGAAGAACATGATCTAATAGCCAATCATAGCACAGGAGGCGAGACAATATTAGCCAATCAAAGCGCCGAAAGGCAGGTTTTCCCTGAATACGGGTGTGATTAAAAAATAAACGTTGGCCTGAACCATTTCTGTAAAGGGAGGGGGTAGAGTTTAACTTGTCGATCATTTCTTAATCCAAACGACTTTCTCACGTCATTCTTGGCTTTAGGTCAGTTCGTCACGGCGGCGTATAAATGAGCTGATGTTAGTCGTGGACGGTTAGTTGTTTTTTAAGTCCCAGCACGGACAGCTAGGAAAAACTTTGAACTCTTGGTCTCACCGGCCGTTTTTTCCCGCGCTATGTGCGTCGCTTGGAGACACAGACTCGCTATCCCAGCGTTGGCTATTTTAGTGTTTATAGTTTGTGGTGCTCGGGCAGAAAGTGAGGTGCAGTTTGCAAAACTGGTGTATCCTCGGGGAAACCAGCGGGCAGTGGCTGATGGAAAAACAGCCTATCCCCACTGGGCAATAGGTGAGGAAAAGAAAAACTTGTCTTTTATATCAGTAGTAGTTTGTTAACGTTGACGTTTCTCCTGCTTGCTGTGTTGTTTTCTCTGCAGTTCAGCCGTTTCTGAAGAGCTGCGTCTCTCATGGCGGTGTTTACTCTGAGACATTTCCTTCTGTCTGCTTGTAGTTTTTCTTTTAAACTTCTTTTTTCGTGCTTTACTAAATAATATGTGCCTGTCGTTTAATTTGGCATCTCTTCTGTAACCTGAGCAGAGTGTTTTAATTCTCATCAAGGTGCTGTTGTTTAACTACACGTCTAATAACCCGAAGACGGTGGTATTATCTTTAAATTCTGTCATATATTCTGACAAAAAACGGTTCTTGAAGGGTTATTTAGTAAAACAGTGGTTCTATCTAGACCATTTGCCTGGTGAAATGGTTCTTCAGATTGATGGAGAATGTGCTGTAAATGGTTCTAGCTATATAGCACCAAAAAGGGGTTCTCTTATTGGCATGACAGTGAAAGTAGCAGAACACTTTTTTGGTGCTATATAGAACCACATACAACACATTGTCCATCAGTCTGAAGAACAGTTACACCGTGCAAAGAACCATTTATGCATGAAATGGTTCTATATAGAGCTCATGGTTATAAATAGAACCATTTCCTTTACTAAAGAACCCTTGAGGAATATAGAAACCTTTTTGAAAATGGTTCTATATAGCACCAAAAGGGTTCTTCCTTAGTTACGATGTCAAGCTTGCAACAATAGAACCCCTCATTTTCAAAAAGGTGCTATATAGAACCATATATTACACATTTATTGTCCATCAGTCTGAAGAACAGTTTCACAATGCAGAGAACCATTTAACCATTTAACCATGATATGGTTCTATATAGAGCTCATGGTTATTAATAGAACCATTGTCTTTACTAAAGAATCCTTGAAGAACCATCTTTTTAAAGAGTGTATATAGAACCTTTTTGAAAATGGTTCTATATAACACCAAAAAGTGTTCTTCTATAGTTATATAGAACCATATATGACACATTCTGCATCAATCTGAAGAACCATTTCACCATGCAAAGAACTATTTAAGCATGAAATCGTTCTAAATAGAGCTCTTGGTTCCTTTTAATAAAGAGCCCACGAAGAACCATAAAAAGAAGGACCATTTTAAAGAGTATATAGAACCTTTTTGAAAATGGTTCTGCACAACACCAAAGCATGAACCATTTAAGCATGAAATGAACCTTTCTGAAGATGGTTCTATATAGCACCAAAAAGGGTTCTTCTATAATTATGATGTCAAGCTTGCAACAATAGAACCCCTCGTTTTCAAAAAGGTGCTATATAGAACCATATACAACACATTCTCCATCAATCTGAAGAACAATTTCACCATGCAAAGAACCATGTAAGCATGCAAGTGGTTCTTTGAGTGTTCTTGGTTCCATACAGAACCATTGTCTTTATCTAAGAGTATATATTAAACCTGAAGAAGCTGATTATTATTTTATTTGACGTTTTAAGATCTGAAGAAAATACACTGCGCTAATTAGTTTATTTGATATGTCCTGTAAACTGTAGAAGGTGCTCTTATTCTATTCTTCAGTTCCACCTTTAATAACCTGAAGACGCTGGTTTTACTAGTTTAGTTTGTCATATTGTAGAAGGACGGTGTCTCTTTCTTAATATTTCATTTGATCTGTGTTATATAACCTAAATCTCTTACTTGCTGATTAGTTTGACATGGATGGCGTCATTCTAAGCATCACATGCTTTGTTTCCTTTTATTTCAACGTTGCTTATTTTACACAGTCCTGCATCAAATGGCACGTAACCCAGATCTGTAACTCAGTTTAATTTGCCTGTTGATGTTGCCTGTGTGGATGGTGTTTGCCGTAGTGTGAAGAAGGGCAGGTGAAGAGCTCTCCAGGTGCTTTAGCAAGGTGAAGGGGGTGTAAATGCTGTGTATTTGCTGCTGTGCCTTGCCGCTTTAAAGGGCAGCTGGTTGATTAACTCCGGCTCCTTTATGTGCAATCAGTAACACTCACTGCTCTTATAGCAGCTTCATGAAACAGCGCAGACACAGTGGAGCTCAGCACAGGACATTCAACTGTTGATTTAACATAGCAGCAGTCCTTTCAGATTTCAGACATTCATGTAATAATCAAGTACTTATTGTGCTCATTTAAAGGGCGTTTATGCTGAATTTAAAGTGGCGGTCAGAAATCTCTCAAAAATACCCCAAAGTAAAATAAATAGACTTAATAAAACACTGATTGAAGAGATTAGAAGACATTTCAGAGAGATTGAATTCAATGACTATGCTAAAAATTTAATTAAAAGGTATTTAAATCCATTTGTATTTTTTTGGTTGCATGTAATTTTCATGCTTTTATTCACAGTCAAATCTGGGTTTTTATTTTGTTTTGCTAGAATTCAGTAGCTCCAAAATACTAAATTTAATTTCATAAAAGATGTAGTTTTAGCCATGTGATCAATTTGATCAGTTAGATTTTTTTCCGTGTTTGTGCTCAGGCATTACATTTTCAAATACAGACATTAATGGGTTGATATTATGTCTGAATGATTTAGTACAACTGAATGTTAAAAAACGTCTTTTCTTAATAAGCACAGAATAGACAATCAGCTCTGAAACCGAACAGTGTTAATAGACCAGCAGTTTTTAATCATAGCAGAGAGCATAATAAGGGCAAGCTCGAGGGTATTACAGAAACATAGACTGGAGTTGGAGCCGAATCTTTAGTAGATGTCATTTATGAATTATGTTGATTTATGGATTGCTGGTGGTTTTCATGGATGATTTGGTGATTTGACTGGAAATGGAAACTTTAAGATGAATGCTAAGTTGATATTTTGCCTTGATTTTAACTGTTTATCCGGATTTTTTAGCTACCATTGTGGAGGAGAGGCATTCTGGATTTGAGCACATGGATAAGTGTAGGTGAAATGTATGGTTAAAGGAATGAATGATTGATTAAGTGAAGCTGAAAGTATGGTTAAATGAATGAGTGGATGAGTGAAGATGAAATATATGCTTACAGTAAATAGAAGATAACTGCATTTCTGCAGCCTTGTGCTGCTCTGTTCATGTGCATTTCCTCCAGGTGTGTTGAGCTGCTGTTCTCTGCGAGATCCTCCCTTGTTTTGGCCAGTCTAGATGGTTCGGAAAGCAACAGGCTGGATTAGGGCTGGTGTGCATGAGACCCGAGACATGTTCTGATGTCATTAGATACACTCCGTCCTCTCTCTGTTTTATAACACCACCTAGTTTTGATGTAAATGATTTCTTTGGGAGCGGTTTCAGACTGAATATGTAAATCTGCTATATCTGTTCTGAATATATGAGCTATGCTGAAGAAGGGGGTCTCTAAGAGGTTTATCTATCAAAAAGAAAAGTGGGGCTTCATTTGTTGAAATGTCTCCAATTCAACCATTCAGAGTCGTTCAGAGTGGTTTAATGCAAAATGGTTCATTATAGAGAAATTTACGTTATGAAGTGCCGTCATATCGATTCCGACTCCTGGTGACCATATGGATAGTGTTTCTCTAAAGCATTCTGTCTTCTGTTTGGGTCATTAGGCTTCTGAATGGCTGGTTCATGATTCCATCCATCTTGTGGCTGGTCGTCCGTAATGAAATTTAGTGATGGGAACCAGGGTTGTGATGTCTACAACTAAAAACTAGCCAATTTTTTTACTATTTAAAACCACCAGTGAATCTACATGTGTCTCCTGTGTTTTTATATGTAATGCTGATGATGGTAAAACAGTGGTAAATCTGAAAAGAATATGTTTTTTTGAGGGGACTGTCTCGCCTTACAGCAACCTGCACATACCTCTGCACCATGAATGGATTTCAATGACATTTTGAGATAAAATTCCATGTATTAACTTCCTGTGAGGGAGCTTAGAGGCATTAAACTAAATTAAGACATCTGGTTCCTATCACCACCGCTGTGAACAATTCTGACTCCATATGTTGTTTCTGGAACAGAGCATTTTACATCAAACCACTCTGAACAACTTTGTTTACATCTTAATTATTTAGTTATGCAAAAAAAGTTGAACATTCAGTGTAATACCTCTTTAGGGACATAGTGCATATATAAGTATGATTTTTGTGAGCCACTTCATTCTGGAAACAACACATTGACTCAGTCACCCTTATGAGAGGGGACATTGAGCATTGACATTGTCTGTGGTAATCGTCAGTATGTGACAGATGCAGCAGATGGAGATTAAGTTGAAAAATGCATTTAAATTACTAAATTTTCCAAAAAACATTATTGTAAGTGTTTTTAAGAACATAAATAGTAGCCTGTATTCTTGCTGTGGAAGCCTTTCACTGTGAACTATCCATGTCAGGTCATGGCAAAAGCTTGAAATAACTCTAAACTGTGTTGACAGTAGACTGGATGTGTTTTGACGTCTCAAATGAACAAGCAGCTCTGAGTCAGACCTGTCTCCTAATGGACTTCTGCACATTTTCCACAGGACACCTGATGGGGAAGAAGAGCATAGATGAGCCTCTGGGCTCGGACGAACTAGACGGCAGAGGTGAGCAGTATTTAACTGCACCAGAGGCTGAGGGACACACGCAGCCGTCCAGATTTCTGCAAGCACTCATCACCGCTCTGGCTGGACCAGAGAACGAACGAGAGAGAGACGCCAGTCTGAGACAGCAGCGTGCTCTGGAGCAGGGGAAACTGTTGGAACAGCTTGAACGAGAGAGGGAACAGGTGAGCGGGAGAGTTGGCTGCTTTACTAAGTAAAACTCAATCAAGAAGTGCTATTACTTCAAGTACGACTGCACAATAAGGGAAAAATATCTGTCAGGGTTAATTGGTTTAACTCTGTTTACCGTTTCAGTGAATGTGCAGTGATCAGTCGTGATTTGCATGATGACAATGCATATTTTTAATTCTTCTACGTCTCTGTCTTACAGTAAGAAAGAGAGCCTGATGAATTTCATAAATTTTTTAGCACTTTTAATAAAGACTTCCTTTTACTTTTTCCAAATTATAAAAACTTCAGTGCATAGTTTGTTATTTTTCAGTGGATTCCATTTTATTGTTTTTATTGGCCTTTTTCTTATCTCACAACTGGATAATCTTCAAAATAATCAGAACTAATATAAATGTTAATGACAGCCCTAATAACGATTCCTGAAGACATTTTCACAAACACAATATGTATCATAATATTTGAGTTTTTTTAGATTTGATAAGTGGGAACAGATGCAATCTTCCGATATTCCCGCATTTAAAAAGTGCTATTAGACTTCTGGGCTCCCAGCATTGTCGGAAAACTCAGCAAGTGTGCTCTTAGACAGCTACGCCACTTAGGAGCCTGTTTTGCATCTCTTTTTAATGAAACATGCAGTTGCTCTGTGTTTTAGAAGTACTGACAATGCCCACAGTGCACTCAGAGAAGCATAAAATGATGCAATTAATTGTGATATGATATGACTTTACTGGATAACTAAAGGATGATGTCTAATGCACTTTCTTTCACTCTTCTCTTGTACAGGCAGCGAAGCTTTTGCTACTGGCTTTAAACATGAAAGATGCCGATGCAAGTTGAAAACGAGCCCTCCTCCCTGATTTATCAGAGACTCTTTGTAGTTTGAAGCAGCTGAATCAAGATAACAGTGCATCCCAGCTGTCTCTGTTAGTAAAATAAAGTAATATGCATTACAGTCTTTTCATTCTGCACTGCATCTATTTAAAAACATAAGTTATATTTTTGTATGTAAATCTAAAACATCTGGCGCATAAATACAATAATACTATCTTTTGTTTTATAGACCTACACGTAAATTTATCTTACTTTAAATTATTAATGTGAGTGATGTTTCATCAAACATTCAATAAAGCTTTAACCATTTGAATAAACTTCAGTGTGATATGAAGGCTCTGTCTGTGAGCACTTACACATAACAACTGAGCAGCACTCCAACCGATCAATAACTGTTGATTATTATGAGGTCATCTTGCTTGGCAATGGTATAATAAAGCCATAGTATACAGTCCCTCTTGAAAGCCAGCTGCACAAACACTAAACCTTAACCATTTCAGAGTTTAGGCATTCACATTCTCAATGTTTTATAACCTGATACAGTCACATTACACTGAAAAGAGAAATGCTTTGAATTTAGTTTAAATGTGTGCATTATGTCCACATTAATAATGTATTGTAATGTACTTCAAATGGTGTAAAAAGAGGAAGTGGAGTAATGGGGTTTCATATGACGGCAATATCACCACAATTATTGTCAAAAGTAAGTAAACATAAAAACAAAACTGTGTTGATGCAATGTGTTTTATTTGTGTGGAAAAGACATTTGAGTCCAGTTTATTAAACACATTTCACTTTCCAGTGTGACTCAATTGTACACATTGGTATAGTTGGTATAGTGTTAGGCTGTGTGCACTAGATGGCAGTATAGAATCTAAAAATATGGAAAACAGGGCTCACTGGTAGTAAACAAATCCCATTTGTTGTAAACATGTCTGCTTGCATCCAGCAGTGTCAGAATTGTCTATAGAGTGAGGTTTTCAATTTTGAAGGTTAGGAAAAGCCCCTTCTGATGATGAATCATGAAGGTGGGAGAATCAAATGGAAAAACACCTGCTTCGAGGTGTAATTTTTGGGGGTGGGCCATTTGAAATGCACGCATGTACGCACACACACACACACACACACACACACACACACATATATCACTCATTTTTCAGTTTTTGACATAATTTGAAAATACCTGTTGCCCTTTACAATTTGTGTAAATTCCATGATTAATGGACTAAAAGAAATGGCCCAAAATTACTTGGACAAACATCTGGTTCCATTGACTTATATTCAAAGTAAATTATGTTTTTTCCTTCTCCTGTAAAGTTGCCATTTTGGGGATACGAGGTTTTGTTCTGACAACAGCGATATATATATATATATATATATATATATATATATATATATATATATATATATATATATATATATATATGCATAAGCAATCCAGATATGTTACTACTACGGCCAAATATTGTATTGCAGCCATAAAACTGTCCTCAAAACATCAAAGTATTGGAGAGAACTGATTATTCAAATGACAGAAACTAGGCCTACTCATCAGATGACGACGGCAGCAAGCTAAAAACTGAAAATCTTAGGCTCTTTTCTCTGGTTGAAAGGGTAAAAAACTGTATCTGTTAAATATTTTGCATCAAATGAAGACAGTATCTCTGTTTCCTTCATGGTTTTGTTGAACTAGGAAGGAGAGTTACACTAATACTAGCCTGCATTTGGATCAATGCTATGCTCTGCTAGTAGTCAGGACTGGTTTACATCACAGGGATTCCCAATAGTTGTAAGGTGTAATTGCGTGATGCATGGTGGATACTGAGAGAGAACATTGATGAACAAAAACGTGAAAACAATATGAAATTATGAATTCTGTAAAACTTATGAACCTGGGGGATGTAATGCTGCATTAATAATGCTAACACAACACACCGATCTCTAGTTTTAGGCCGAATACCTCGCTTTAACAAACTTGACACTTATATTGTTATTTCATACAATAAAATCATTCCTTAATTCATCCAAAGCCATACTGACAGAGAGATGGGGGCATTGGAAATGCAGGCTGATGTAGTGTTAAGCTTTATGCACTAGATGGCAGTATATTACTCCAAAATATAGAGAACTGTGAACCAAATCCCAAATTCATGGGACACTTTAAAGAAATAGCATGACATGCTAATGCCAGAGCCAGTTTGTGAGGAGCATGGCCACTTCTTATTTCCCCCGTTATATCAAAAACAGGACTGCAAAACAGCAGAAGGCGCCCGCGAGCGAGTCTTCAATGAATGGGAATTAAAGCGTGCTCAACGGCTAAAAACGAAAAGTTAAAATAGTTTCTAATCATTTGCCCAGAACTTTCCTTTGATTTTAGAAAGGATAGGATGTATTTCACTAAAAAAGCAAAGAAAACATACCTGTATGTTTCCTTTTTTCCACAGCAAACAGGTTTTTGTCAGCAGAACGCTGGCATTACTGCTACTGACGTCATGGATGTACATGAGGCACCGTTATAACTCGATAGTTATATATAACTATAGGCACTCCTATACCTCGAGTTTAAAATATAACAGCAGTGTCTAAATGTTTTATGCTCTTCTGTGTTCAGGAAATGATTGTATTCTTTTACATTAAAATATTTAAGCATTTATGATTTCGCTCAAATACTTTCATCTTATCCCATTCCTTTTGCACTCGCTCGAGAGCGCCCTCTAGCGTTTGAGAAACCCGGAAGACTTTACAGAGCAGTAATTCTTCTCTCTACAAGTTCTCTACTAATGGTCCCTGACAGAGCGTGGGAGCTAGTAGCAACCAATTAGCACAATGCCATTTGCACTGATAGCTGACTTCATTTATTCTTAGCCATATTAGCTTTTTTTTTAAATATTCCTTTAGGTAACAAATGTGCTTAGTTAACATTACCCACTTACAGTTCTACAATAAAATCATTCTTTATCAACATTTGTTCTTTTATTGTTTCATTAAAAACTATATGTCAACAAGTCACTTATCGGCTAGTGGTCAGCGACAGGCCGGCTCATTTCAGCTCTAATGGGCGTAATTATAACCTCAGACCCGTCTGTGTCAGCTGGCGGAAAACTGTTGACGAAAGAGCCATATTCCCACTCTCAGCTGTCCCTCACTACAAAGGGCCTAATTACAGACGCTGAGCTTTCGCACAGTGAGAAATGTTAATTGGTGTTTCTTTTTCACGTGCTTAAGTGCATCCTGTTCACACAACCTGACTCTGTTCCTGTTCACACAACCTGACTCTGTTCCTGTTCACACAACCTGTTCCTGTTCACACAACCTGACTCTGTTCCTGTTCACACAACCTGTTCCTGTTCACACAACCTGACTCTGTTCCTGTTCACACAACCTGACTCTGTTCCTGTTCACACAACCTGGCCCTGTTCCTGTTCACACAACCTGACTGTTCTCTCTGCTGTTTGCTCTGCTCGTTTGTTACAGATGAATAGATGATAATGGAGATGTAAAGCACTCTTCCTCTGTGTTGTACCAAGTCTAATGATGCTCTAATGAAAGAAATCTGACCGCAGCCTCTACAGACACCATGTGGGCGTCTCAGTAACTCAGTTTTGACCTCTGTGTCGGGTAAACAAGGGGTTAAAATGGTTTGTGGGGAGAGATGCTAGTTGGTAGCAGCTGCTGCTGCTGGGTTGGACAAGCTTTACAGACTGAAGGCAAACAAGAAATTAGCAAACAAGTTACAGTGTGTTTTAAAAAACGCTAAAGGCCCATATGTGGGCCCACACTACTCTACTGAAGACCATTAGAACTGGACGGTTTTGCTTTCTAATAGGAATTGGCTTAATGGTTACCATTACAGTTGTAAGACACCTTTAGGTCGCACTGGAAAACCATCAAATGCACCTGGAATTCTGGAATGATTACAACTGTGATATCAACCCATCAGGAAAACACAAAATACCATTGCTGACTATTGGACACCACCTGGAACCACCTGAAACCTCTTAAAAAAGATGGTTCTTCAAGGGTTCTTTAGTAAAGGGAATGGTTCTATTTCTAATTCTAGAAATTCTAATTCTTTGCATGGTGAAATGGTTCCTATGATGCAGAATGTGTTGTATATGGTTCTGTATAGAACCTTTTTAAATTGGTTCTATATATCGCCAAAAAGACCACTTCTATAGTTATGATCTCAAGCTTGTAACAATAAAAGAACCCTTTTGGGTGCTATACAGAACCTTTTCAAAAAGGTTCTGTGTAGAAACATATACAGCACATTTATCATCAATCTTAAGAACCTTTTCACCATACAAAGAACCATTTAAGCACAAAATAGAATCATTCAAATAGAACCATTATTGTTACTAAAGCACCAAAAAGGGGTTCTCTTATTGGCATGACATTGTAAAAATAGCACAACACTTTTTGCTGCTATATAGAACCATCTACAGCACATTCTCCATCAATGTGAAGAACCCTTTCATGAAGCAAAGAACCCTTTAATCATGCAGAGGGTTCTTTGAGTGTTCATGGTTCCATGTACAGCCATTGTCTTTGCTAACGAACCCCTGAAGAACAGTCTTTTCTAAGAGTATATGCTTTTTACAGCAGGGACAGTTTCTTACTCTCATAATTAGTTTCTCAAATATTGTAAGGAACGACTAGATAATCTGATCTTAATATTTCTTTTTAAATTCATATTTAATCGTTCATCCTATTTTTAAATTAACTATCATTAAGCCTGGGGTTCTATGGGTTAATTACAAATGATTCTTATTCCCTATGTGTCTGAAAAGTGAAGTACCATTTGAATGCTTAAATAGTTCACTGCTCCTCTCCATGATGGAGAACCTGTCTTTAAAGAACCTTTTAAAAATGGTTCTATATCCCACCAGAAAAGGGTTCCACCACTCAAAGAAGTCAAAGAAACTTTCTCTGGTACCACAGAGCCCCCCATCTAGCTTAGAGCGTGCTAGAGACCACATTATACGATATCATCACGTTTATTGAGCCATGATTACAAATATATTAGGCTTTTTAAAGAACTGTAATGTGTTACGGATCTCAGTACACATGATAATAAATGGGCCCTTTTCAGAGTCGTGATTAGGGTGAAACTCACTACCGCTCCATATGACCACAGCAGAAGCGATGACAGAAAGTTATAGTAGTTAGTTTAGTTTGTTATAGACAAAGTATTATAGTAGCATTCATTACATTTACCTTCTGCTGCCACCACAGAGGCCTTGGTTTCACCACAAACACCAAGAGACTTAAACAATAAACAGCGCCCTCTTGTGGACCAAGACAGCAATGGTCTCTGATTCGTCTGCCAACGGGCTTTATGCACATTAACAATATTAATAATTCAATAAAACAGCGATAATCGGGCTTATGTGAATGAAAACGGGTTTCTCACTCAAAATATCGAAATACTGTGTTGTGGTAGTGTTTATTTCCCATTCTGCTTTGACATCGTGTAGAAATTATGTTTGTGGAATACTAGACATTATCAAATTACTATATTAATATAATAATAGTAATACTAATACTACTACTACTACTAATACTACTACTAATAATAATAAATTGTGAAGAGTAGAGGAACAGGTGAGAATGTGCTGCTTTACAGTGAAGCCTGCAGTGCGTAATTCCCCAGCAGTGCATTTGCGTATAATGACCACTAGGGGGAAGCAAAAGCATGCAAAGTCATGGACGGTGTTTTTTTTTTTGTTTTTTTTTTGGTGTGTGTGTGTGTGTGTGTGTGTGTGTGCGTGCGTGAGTGAGAGAGAGAGAGAGAGAGAGAGAGTCATGGACGGTGTTTTTTTTTGTTTTTTTTTGGTGTGTGTGTGTGTGTGTGTGTGTGTGCGTGCGTGAGTGAGAGAGAGAGAGAGAGAGAGAGAGAGAGAGAAGTAAGTGCTCATTGTTCCAAGTTCCCATCTTGACTAATTTATTGAATAATTAATCAATTTCTTAATTTGTTAATTGATCATGAATCCAGTAATCCACAGAAATGACTTAAAACCCACACATGGCTTTTCTTTGTCTTTACTGTTAATCTTGAGGTTAAATCAAAATAATATACTTAATTCTTCTGCACCGCTCCTTTAATTAGAGGCTGTATCTGTTCTCAATCTGTGCAAGTATTTAGATGTTCTCTTTTCGTGTGTAGTCCTGCATATATGATGACCTAGAACGTGGGCCGAAACGTCATTTCTTTCTTTTTTTCATTTATAATGAATAAAATCCTTTTTGATTTTTCTGCACCATTTTTGAAGCGATACTATGGGCTGTGTGTTTTTCATTACCTTAAAAACAACCAAATAAACAAACAGCTTTAGTTAAATGACTGTGCAGAGATACATGAATGACTCAGGTTTATGGAAATGTTTTAATGAACATTTTATATGGACATTCTTGCAAAATTACACTCAGCATATATACACACATGTGAGTGTATTACAAAACAAATAATGGAAATAAAACAGTTAGAACACACCTGGAAGAATAAATAGATTGTATTGGCATTGTGTGGATCACAGCGAAGAGAGAAACAGAACCTCAAACGTGGGAATGTGACAGAATGGCTTGAAACATATGAGACATGATAGTGTAAGCGAAGTTTGATTTGCTGGTTCTATACATCCCTCATATTACTGCTTTATTTGATTGGCTGGAGCAAATACCGTTTACTTTTGCTCTTACCAAGAAACAAAATAAGATACATTATAAAAATAGGGCAAAATGTCTCAAATTTAGCCTCTGAATGCACTTCAGTAGGGACATTTTCTCTTTTGTTGGTCTGCAGTTGACACTTTATTTAATTGGCCAGAGCCAATACCTTTTGTTTTGCATTTATCAGTTAATAAAATAAGATATATTATAAAAATAGGGAACATGCACTCTCTGAGTGCACTTCAACAGTGCAACAGTGATGTGCTATAAACCTTTTCTGCCTCGTTTAAGTCTCTGCTTTGATTGTCATCCAAAAACAGTCCAAAAGGGCTTCAGTTCAGGCTTTGCTGGGCAGTGGGCACAGTGTGATGGGTTCCGTGGCAAATACACCATCAGGATGCATCCAGCTTGGTTGTTTGACCCTGTAGGACCCCATACAACTCCATAGTCCCAGTCTGCCACAGTGCAACATTACAGTCTACAATGTTCTGGCCTCTACCATGTCTTCCCTATGGACTGAATGTGCTCCTTGGCCTTCATCCTCAGCGATGCTATGCTGGAGTTGCGGGGGTCCGACTCCTCCAGACTGAGTTTGTCCATGAAGCCTGAGCACTGGTAGGCCGGCGGGGGTGGAGGGGGGCACACTGGGCCGAGGTGGGGTAGAGGGTGGCCCAGAAAAGGCGGAGGGGTGTAGCTGGAAGGCTGAGAGGTCATAAAGCCCGGCAGAGACTGTAAGGGTGAGCTAGGGGACGAGATAGGACCCGAAATGGGCCCGGTCAGCCAGGGATCCAGCGGCAAGCCAGCGCTGCCCAGCCCCGGAGCGGCCGACCTGGGAAAGGACAGCATGGAGGAGTCCTGGAGCTTAATGGAGCTGACCTCCAGCTTCTCCTGACGACGCCACTTAGCACGACGGTTCTGGAACCACACCTGGGGGGGTCACATGGTAATGGAGGATTAATAAAGAGCTCGGAAAGCGATCTGTTTTGACCTCTTAACGAATACTCTAGCTTTTCCAGCCTAATTGCTATCCACTGTACACTTTTAATAAAGGACAGTGGGCAGTCGCTGAAATACTGAGATTTGTGTTAACATGTCTTCTTTCCTTTCTAAGCACAGGGAATCCTGAAAATGATTGTCTGAGATAATCGACTGTACACTGCAGAAGTGGCAGATTGACGTTAGGTTAAAAATACTAGAATATTCCTTCAAACTCTAAAGGCTCATATGTGGTGCAGACTTCAGTTCTTCACTCTCACAACATAAAACTTAGATTTATAGTAGTTACTGAACAATTTACAGCAGTTACTGAATCATTTGTAGCAGCTACTGAGTAATAAGTGTTGGTTCTAAGGGGTTAACACTGTTAACACTGACTAGAACTGAAATATTTCAGTAACCTTTCGGGGTTGTAGTAGATTCTGTATAAGTGAATAGAAATGAATGAAATGTCTCACTACTAGATCACAGGATGGGCTGTGTTTTTTTCTTTTCACTGACACAGCAGAACCCTTATATTTGTGGTTCTAGAACATGCTTTGTTACACCATTGTTGCAGCTGATTAAAGTAACCGTTACATCAAAGTGCTTCTAGAATGTAACAGACAGCTACTAACTTTTGCTGGAATTTATCAAAGTTGTTTACACGTTCAACTCTGTCTTCATTGCTTTTTCACTTTTCCTCTTTTAGCATCGCTGATATCTCAGTGTAGTGGGGGTCTGTGTAGGAACCACTTACTATTAGAGTTGCAGTGAACATTTAAACACTGTTACTGACTTTATTAGCCCCTCATATGGTCAGATTTCTGTACTTTGTTCATATAACCAAAGAATAACTCAGCTGGTTTGCATTGCTTCCCATGTAGTTACTGAATTAGGATGTCATTCATCAATCAAAGTGTTTTGTGTTTTAAAAGTACTTAAAGCTACTGAGTTGTACTATGGAATTTAGTTTTATCATTAAATTTCCATAAATCAGTCCATGCAACAATGTAAATAATTAATTTTGTAAAGTTTGTAATTTGTAGTCAATAGTCTAGTAGTCCTACAGTCCTTCAGAAATACCTTCACAATTAGTTACATTCATTTTAATAAAATAATTTAAAGATTTGTCTTATTTTTCTTAATTCCTTTAAAAAAAAAATACATTTTGTACCATGGTATCTATTGAGATTTATCTGATTCCATATTTAGACGGCTTGGTTTAGTTAAAAAAAATATATATATAAATATTAAAAAATATTTATATATATATATATAATGTATATGTATTTGGATTATTTTCTTAATAATTGTAGTTTTATAATAACTTTCTTAAAACCTATAGTTTTATAATAGTTTATATTAGACACTCTCTCACCTGGACGCGCACTTCTGGCAGGTTGACCTTCAGTGCGAGTTCTTCTCTGCTGTAAACGTCCGGGTAGTGTGACCGCTCAAAAGCCCTCTCCAGCTCATGCAGCTGGAACGTGGTGAAGGTGGTCCTGTTCCGCCGGTGCTTCTTACGGTCCGGGCTCGAAGGGGCATCTACACACACACATATATATGGTTATTTAGCTTATATATTGAAGTTAATAATATCTATAAATTTATATGTAAATGATTTGATTCAATAATGATTCAGGAAAAGATTCAGTGCTACATGAAATATCAAGTTTCACCACATTTTATTTATTTAAAAAAAACAAACAAACAAACAAACAAACAAAATATATATATATATATATATATATATATATAAAATATATAAAATACACTGGTCTAACTGGAGGAATTATTTACAAAGTTTATTATTATAGCCTATCGATAATTGATTGTAATATTCAGAAATCAGTGCAGTTGAATCATCATCTTCAGACTGATATTTTTTATGTTCCAATTATTTGTCAATGTCTATATATACATGTGCTTTGGTGTGTAGAGATTATTTAAAATATGTTATGTGTATTAGCTTTGATCTTCAATTCTCAATTCATAACTGAGCAGATTTCAGTGTCTGCAATTGGAGCATAAATGGCCCCACTGATGCGCTGAAACGGGCCTGTGCCTGAGCGCACACAAGCATTACAGACCCCCTGTACCTATATGGGTAAAGAGTGTACGGGTCAATTCTGCTCCTACTGTCCATTTTCTCTACTCAGTATAGTGTTGTCCAGCTCTAACACCACTGTTTTAACCTTGCTGAGGATTTGGGGATGAGCTGATGAGCAGAATCAGGTAGGAAAACACTAAAGTATGTAGTGCAAAGTGAATTACTGCATAAGCAGAGCTGAGTTATACTGTTCCACTTCAATGCTATAGGAAACATACATATAGTCGCAGTCGGAAAAAGACCTCATATCTGTTTAGATAATATATGATATTTGCCAAAATTGGAAAAAATTGAAATTGCCCTTTATATTGTGTTAATTTAATGATGAATATACCAACAGAAATCATCTAAAAATCTGTTTTCATCAACTTCTATTATACATTCAGAATGGTTTTTACTTCTCCTGTAAAGTTACCATTTTAGAAATATGAGGTTTTATTCCAAAACTGATGATGTATAAATGAACTGCTGGTCATCTTGAATTGACTGAACCGCGGAGCCTTTTTCATTTCTTCCTTTAGCAGTTCTCTGATGTTATTCAGAATATTACAATCGGAGTTTGAGTTGGTGTTTCAATCAACTCAATATCTAAACCAGGTAGAAATTATAGCTAAAAAGCAATAAAAAAGTTTAATTTAACCCCCTGAAACTTTCTATATGTTGGTCCACATTTCAGTTCCTCACTCTCATAACTACAGAACTAAATTCATAGAAAATACTGAATAATTCACAGTAGATATTGACGAATTTATAAAAGTTACTGAATAACTTACAGTAGTTTCTGAATTTTAAGTCATGAGATTAATATCTGAATAATACAACTAGAATTTAAGGGGTTCAATACCTTTAGCAATATTATATTTATCCAAATAATAGCATAGTACAGCATAGCATAGTGTAATATATTATAGTGTAGTACAGTATAGCACAGTACAACATAGTATAGTACATTATAGAGTATTATAGAGTTTTAGAGTAGTTTAGTTTAGTTTCAGATAGTATCATGAAGTGCAGTACAGTGCAGTGTAGCAGTAACTCACTCTGGAAGCTTTCAGAGTTCGTGTCTGTTTTCGTGGCCCCTCTGGTCCCACAGGTTTCGACCTGCAGCATCTTCTCCTCTCTAAAACCCAGAATGGCCTCAATGCTGTGGACTCTGGCCTGAGGTCCAGCAGCACGCGCCAAACGCGCAGACGGAGACAGCTGCTCCTCCATGCTCTGACACTGCGCTCCGACAAGACGCATTGAATTCGTAGTACAAATATTAAAAAATTGGGAAAAAGTTGCTTCCAGTAAATGACAGCCACCAAACTGATCTAGTCAAGTAGTTAAAAAAAATAAAAAGGCAAAAAACAAAAATAAAAAATAAACAAAACACAATAAAACAAACAAACAACCAAATAAACACCGGTCCGAGTTGCTCCCAGTGCCTGACAGCTAGTAGAAATCAGTCTGTAAACTGGGCACAAAAGTGATCTTCCAGCTTTCAGGTGTGTTTATTTCTCAGGTTTAAAAGTGACTGAGATCATTCCGCTGCTGTAGAACGCTGTGGGTCACTGCAGAGGCTGAAAGCATCACCTTGGTCCAGCTCGTGAGTGTAGTGACAATTCAATGTCCTTGGGGGACTTTTATACAGACCCCTCAGCCGGGGGGCTTTTGTGGATATCTCATCCCCCACCGGCACTTCAGGGAGGACTCAGATTGGTCAGATGGGCTCAGGGCTCCTCCCAAAGACCCTTACACAGCTTTAAACCATCTTTTCAATCTACATCTCTCACTTCATGTGGAGGAAAATCGCACATACTGAATCTCAGACACTCGTCATGTGCATCATTTCCACATGAACACAATTAATGTCTTTCAGTTTCACTTACTTTTGGCAATAATGTTGATGTGATAAACCTCGTTCATGTGTAAATAATGTACAAATTTGAAAGAAATTCAAAAATACAGAGTTTTTTCAGTGTAATGTTCAGTAATTACTACAAATTATTTTGCAACTACTATAAACTATTTAGTAACCGCTATGAATTATTCAGTAACTGGAATAAAACTAATATGCAAACTGTGAAGTTAAAGAGAAGGAGGAAAAACTGGTCCCACTGATTTGTCCATGGAGTTTTATAGGTAAAAAAAATACTAAAGTCAATAAACTGTAAATAAACTGCCATTAAAACTGAATCACTTAAAAACTGTCCACTTTATTAGAAACACCTACCATATAAGTGCATTTTTTTAGGCTTAAAGTTATTGACTGTAACTCATCTATTGCTGCACAGTTTATCGGCTCTCTCTCTCTACCACATTCATCGATGGAAAGAGACCACCATGGGACCACCGTTGACCGGATATTATATGTGTGATGAGTGAGGCATAGAGGCATATTTGCACATGTCAGTAAGGTTGGGAGGATCACACTGTGGCTTATGTGTTTATGCATAGCTAGTCGTCAATTACCAGGCTCAGTGGTCAGAAACTGACCCCTGATGAAGGGCTAGAAGATCGCTAGCATAAACTGTGCCAGCGACCAAGTGACCAGTGAGTGTACATTTAATATGAATGAATTTTGGCTGAGAGAATCGCTGCTCAATATAGACTGTAAAACACACAAAGAAGGCTGCAAAGCCACTAATCTCCCTTACAGACTCCTTCACCCTCACTTCTCCGGACCTGAGATGAGCTGAAGAGGCGTGTGTGTGTGTGCGTGCGTGTCACTCTGCGATTGAGGTGAACTTAATTGGAAGAATTTGCCAACTTCCTCAGCACTGAATGGATACGCGTAATTAGTGGTGAAGTAAGACTGACAGCAGTTCGGTAATCCGCAGGCCACACGCTGTTTAAGGGGATTACGCTTTTCTCCCCTTAAAACACTAAAACAAAGCCCCCCTTTATTTCTGCTATTTGGATTGCATGTTATTACAACAGATAATGGTCTATTAGGCTCCCTAAGCTTTTTATTCATGAGTCCTCAATGGAGAAAGGAACAAATACACAAAGACAGAAACTGGGTTACTAGACACATTTAGAGCCATGAATATAGAAGAGTGAAATAAAGTGTGTGAGGGAAACCTAACGTTTTACACACTTGCACACACACACACAGACACACACACACACACACACACACACACACACAGAAACACACTGACATATACTCACACATAGAAACACACAATCTTGTTTCTGTGAATTGTGGGACCATTAAATAGACATAGACTTCCATTCATTTACTGAAGACTTACCCAAACCTTAACCAGAACTAATACTAGCCTAATTCTAGGACTAACCCTGACCCTAAACTTAACCCTTGTGTGGTGTTCAGGTCTGTAGGAGCCATTTTCAACGTTTACCAAAAGAAAAAATGATGCGATTTATTATTATTTCAACCTCAGATTCTTTGGCCTCATTTTCTGTGAAGAACATATAAAATAACCCATTTTCAGTGCCTTCACTCTGTTCACCCCCCACACATTTATATTACACATGTGGTGTTGAGTGAACCCGCAGGGAATAAAAGTGTGGAGGTGCTGTGTCCTTCACTCTGTTCTCCTCCTACATGGCCTGCTGTTAGTGTGTGTGTGTCTGTGTGTGTGTGTTTGTATATGTGTCTGTGTGTGTGAGGGTGGACAACATGGACAGGCTGCTGACTGGCTACAGCTGCTAAAGGAGAACCCTACACTGGCCACCTGTGATATTTTAAACATCTGGTATTTTTACATAAACTGTTATGGCTGTATTGATTTAAAAAACAATAATGTGGTGGGTCCACCAGACCACTGAGTAACAAACACATTAACAACACAAGGGTTAAAATTTAATGATTTACATTGTGGGGACCTGCTTAAGAAGAGAGGTCCCCACAGTGTTATTGCATGAACAGGTTTTGGTCCCCACAATGTGGCATAAACCTTGTCCATGGACATTCACACACACATATACACATGCATCTTCATCAATAGCAGCAACAGCAGCATCATCAACAACAATAACAATAATATTGTTAAATAATAATAAAATGTAACAACAACAACAACAACAACAACAACAACAATAATAATAATAATAATAATAATAATAATAATAATATAAATGATAATAATAATAACAGGAAGAGATATAGAGACTGTCGAGTTTGCTATTATCCTCTTCAGTACAGTGTAAGTAATACTCCACATGCTTTTCATCTTGATTAGATCCCCCTTCAGGCTTCAGTCTGATCCTACATCAGTTTGATGCCCCTAACTGTTCGCTCCAGTTCTTTCAGACTACATTTCCCAGAATGCCTCAAATCCAGAAATACATATTCAAATATTCCTTTTTTTCTGAATAGCTGAAGAGATGCATGATTAGGTAAGAGCAGTGTGAGACTCGTCGTGCCAGCAGTAGCTGGACCTCAGGCTGCTCTGTTTTCTGACCAAACCAAAGCCACACAAATGACTTAAGAGAGTCTGAGCGAGGCATTTAGCCTGATGGGATGACAGTCTCAGCTCGGCTGATCCTATTAGCGCTTAATCTTTTGAACTCAAAATCCAAGGCATTTTGACCATGGACACGCATAAAGTTCACATCATGGTCGACTTCCTCCTCCCTCAGACTAATCAAGCCTGCAACAGTTGTGGAATAATCTCCAATTAAATTAAGACCCATTTCTTCATCTGGCAGATTACAATGTGTTGGTGCACGTCAGATATTTAGCACTTAATCTAAATCACTTAATCTTTAAATGTGTGTCTAATTCATGTACAGTATGCGGCAAATACAGTCGTATGCAAAAGTTTGGGCTCCCTTTGTTAAATTGGGCTTTGTTGATTTTTTCATTGAAAAAAGTTAACACATCGTCTACAGAGCACTCAACTCTGCACATTTTTAAATCACCTTTTTTTTCTGAATTTAACATACTGGGAAATAACAGAAAACATAACATGATTTGTGCAAAAGTTATGGCACAGTTTACATGTTATGTCCTCCTAGAAAATCAACAAAACATGTAATTTGACTGGGGGTGTTCAAACTTACAAGACTTACTTTTCTTGAACCAAAACATCTTCATTTGTGAAAATATTAAGATTAAGTGACCCTTATTTCACCTACGCATTTAACCCATCCCTGTAGTGAAACACCACATACACACTAGTGAACACACACACTAGGGGGCAGTGAAACACACTCGCCCAGAGCGGCACCCAGGGAGCAGTTGGGGGTTAGGTGCCTTGCTCAAAGGCACTTCAGTCACGTACTTTCGGCTCACGGGATCAAACCAGCGACCTACATAAGGCTAGTCACAAGGCTAGTTCCCTAACCTCCAGCTCACAATATTTTCAAACTGAAAATATATTATTTTAGCCTCATTAAAATAATAGACGTTTTGCGATTACTCTATACTTACTCTAATGAAAATAGAGCATAGATGCAACAGATAGAAGTTAGTTTGAAAAATGCTAGAGTATTCCTTTATGTACATCCAAGAAAAAGTATATGAACCTTTTGGTATTAACTTGTCTGCTGCATTAATTGGTCATAAAATGTGATCTCCTCTTCATCTAAGTCACAAGTATGGACAAACATAAAGTGCTAAAGCTAATAACATACAAACACTTACAACCTTTCATGGTGGAAAAATATGTTAAACTCCTTTAGCAGTAATAACCTCAAGTGAGTGCCTCCAGTGGCTGCGGATCAGACCTGCACAACCTTCAAGAGGAATACTGGACCATTCTCCCTTACAAAACTGCTTCAGCTCAGCTATATTCCTCAGATATCTGGTGTTGAACAGCTCTCTTGAGGTCATTCCACAGCATCTCTATTGGGTTAGGGCAGGGGTGCGCAACTCTGGTCCTGGAGGGCCAGTGTCCCGAACAGTTTGGCGGTTTCCCCGCTCAAACACATCCACCAAATCTGGCAAATAACAGATAAATGTAATCAGGTTTGTTGGAGCAGGGAAATCACCAAACTGTGCTGGACACCGGCCCTCCAGGACCGAAGTTGTGCACTCCTGGGTTAGGGTCTGGGCTCTGACTGGGCTGCTCCAAAAGGAAGAGTTTAGCAAACTCAACATGCTTCACAACTGCAATCTCATTTAACTACTTGTCTCCAGTTAACTCCTGACTCCAGTTAGCTTTTTTGTAGCCATTAGCCAAGTGTTTCACATACTTTTTCCAACATATACTGTTGTTTAAGTTTAAAGAAATTGTGTTTGTTCTTTATTGTAACTTTGATGAAGACAAGACACAGTTTTAAGATGAATTTATACATAAATGCAGGGAATTCCAAAGCGTTCACATACTCGCTACTATATTCTTAAAATATATTTTGTTAATCAGTATTAATTTAGAAATAACAGGCAGCAGAAACAACATCCCAACTACAAAACCACACCATTCAGACTGAGAAAGCAAATTAAAAGAGCCCCAACTTATGAACAACCTGTTTTATTATTTAAATTCTTCTGTACGCATAATACATAATACATAATACATTCACAATCTTACACACTTAAATATGTGACACTGTTTATACACAATAATCTACAGCATCAGTGACACATTTCTGTCAAGGATTTATGTCAATTATTGGAAGGAACCGACCATTTTGCCATCACTATCCTGTGTGTAAAAGAGCAATGGACATCTGAGTGTTTATCACAATTACTTACAGATTATAAAATCTTCTTTACAATCAATAACACTTTTTTACTAACTGTACAGCATAAAAGACACTGCATGAAACAATACAATAGTTCTGAGATCATTAATGCTGAGGGTAAAAGAGGATGCAAAGTGAGGGTGAAGTGGGAGACAGAAACTGTAACAGTGTTTATTTAAACAACACACAGAAAAGAAAAAAGGAGCAGGTTCATTCAGTGCCAAAGAAAAGAGACAATCAATGTTATGAACTGACAAAACAACAGAAGCCCTAAAGAGTCATGGATTCTCAGTGTTTTTATTTACTCTGTTTTTCCTTAATAATGAGTTATTTTCTTTTTTTCTCAAGACCACAAGTTATTTGTATCATTATCATGACAAAAGTGTTGTTTTCCATGGATATTTATGCCATTACCACAACACACTGAATGTTATTTTGATAAAACAATCTCTGCCTGATAATGACATAAATATCACAAGATCTTGAGAAATAAAAATAACGTTATCTTGTTATCGCAAACAAGCGAATCCATGGCCTTTTTGGAGTTTCATACAAAACTCCTCAAATGGCTTCTGCCATTGTTTACAGACAGTTAATACAATCTTATCATCTATTAAAACGCATGAATTTCTCCTCCATCAATGCGTTCTTCAGAGACTACAGTACTTTCATCTGGAACTTTTCGTTATATTTGTTCCTCTCACTTCTGCTGCCATTCTCATTGCCTCAAAAGACGTCAGCCAGTGGAAGAAAGTAAATAATACAGCGGCTTTTGTAACAGGACTACAGCACTGCACAGCGTAGTGTTTCTCCTGCTTTAATACATACAAATTCACCCATCAGCTCATCATTGGGCCTTGAATGAGCTGAATGAGGTGTTTAATTGAACAAATACATCAGCGTTTTCAGGAAATGGGTCCTGGTTGATATTAAATATTCATTGTTGTTAGTTTTCTATCATTTTAGCCGTTGGTCAAATTCCATGTTTGCCGATTTTAAGTGAAAACACTCTCTACAGGGAGCAAACTTAAATATGACATTTTTCTGGGAATTTTACTGCACAATTTCTGTTTATCTAATTATCTTTAAATTCGAAAACAATATAAAGTACAAAATGTGCTGTAACATTTGCACAGGTCACATTTTATGTTTTATTATTTCCCCAATATGTTACATTTTGAAAATAAACAGTAATTGTGCATTAAAATGTGCAGAAGTGTGTCCTCATGAAAAGATGTGTTAACTTATTTTCACTTACCTTTAGCATATGACTGTATATAGCAATTAACACGAGAGGGAGTGTCTTATTCAGAATAATATCACAAATAGGCCTGTATGTTTTTAACATGGGCAAACTATTGCGCCAAAAAGTAGTCCCAGTAATAGACCCCAAGACAGAGTGCGTTATAGTGAATAACATTGTGGCTGTTACTTGGTCACAGCTAATCATCTCAGCTGTGATGTTCTTTGCAATAACACAAGACATGTTATAACGCTTTTATAAAGCAGTTTTGAAAAATAAAGAAAATTAACCAAAGAAGCCCTGAACGGTGTTTGAAATATTTGTTTTGATATTGGCAATTTCTTCCACCAAAAAAAGTAGTTCCACCACAGACTTAGTAAAGAGTAATGCGACCACTGTTGTTGCATTAGCAACCGGTGGTCACTGGAATTATACGGGTAGAGTGAATAATACATGCCGTTATCAGATCTAACAGCATGGTTAGAACCCTTTTTTTAGCCAATCAGATTGGAACTAACTGCTGTATATCGTTGAATAGAACTTTCTGGGGTGTTTGGTTTTCCTCACATCGTTACATGACGGAGCATTTCTCCTCCGCCTTGCTCTTCATCTCAGTAAGCGTGGCAGAGGCCTTCTCTTTGATCTGGTCCATGTCCATGTTCTGCAGGTTCTGAATCTGACCCATAATGGAGTCTTTTTCCTCCTCTTCCGTGGCGTCTTCGTCCACCATTTTCAGCAGCTCCTCAGGCACATCCACATCATCCCCAGCCATCTGAATCATATTCTCATCCTGCTCACTCTGACACACAGACATGGACAGAGAGACGTGTGTTACGGTAAAGACTAACATAGCCCACAAATTCTGCAGTACAGTAACTGTTTGGACGAGCTTTATAAAATGTGTCAAAAACCCCATTTAGCCTAGAGAGAAATGGTAGCAGTGTTTGCTTAGAGTAGTTACACATCCTTGAGGTTCCAGTTTAAAGTGCTACGCTACAGAGCTGGACTATGCTGTCGTACCTAATGAGAACAAAAAAATGTTCTTGTTCTATCAGATGAGCAGATGAGCATGACCTCTCACATCTGCACAAAATACATACCATTTCAAATGGATAACACATTGTAATTATGGTTATTTTCACAAAAAGCAAATTAGTTATAATTATAAGCAACAATTGATATGAAAGAGTGCATTTGTTGGTGGAGCCTGGACAGGTCAGCTGTGAGCACCACCTCTGCCTCCTCATCCTTGGTTATACCAGTGTCTTGTTTCTGCAGTTACAGAATTATCTATAGATAATTATCTATAGATAGATAGGAATTGTGCACTGAAATTTGCAGTTTGTTCCCAGTAGATGATGTGTTCGCTCATTGTCATTTAGAAAATCAACAAAACATGTAATTTATATATAGAGCCCTGTTTGTTCGTATATTTACAAAAACTGGAAAACGGATTTATGCTACTGATCAGACTCTACTTTAATGTATTTGTATCCACTGGCAGAAGAGAGCCAATGGAGCAACAGATGGTACCGTCAACCAAAGCAAAGCTATAGCTTTTAAGCTATTAACTTAATTAAGTGATTATGTAATAATACACAAATGATTATGGACAGTACATAGAACACATAGCAGAATGACAGGAATAACTGCAGAATTTCAAGAGTTAAACTCAAGCAACGGAATCTGTATATACTATACAGTACTGGTACAGTATGCAGTACATAGTATACACAGGTACAGTATGTAGTAAACAGTGTATACGGATACAGTACATACTGGTGCAGTATGCAGCACACAGTATGCAGTAGACTCTGGTGCAGTGTGCAGTATACAGTATATACTGGTGCAGTATGCAGTATACAGTATACACTGGTGCAGTATGCAGTGTACAGTATACACTGGTGCAGTATGCAGTATGCAGTATACAGTATATACTGGTGCAGTATACAGTATGCAGTTCAGTATGCAGTATACAGTATATACTGGTGCACTATACAGTATATACTGGTGCAGTATGTAGTATACACTGGTGCAGTGTGCAGTATACAGTATATACTGGTGCAGTATACAGTATGCAGTTTATACGGGTGCAGTATGCAGTATACACTGGTGCAGTATGCAGTATGCTGTATACAGTATATACTGGTGCAGTATGCTGTATACACTGGTGCAGTATGCAGTATGCTGTATACAGTATATACTGGCGCAGTATGCAGTGTACAGTATAAACTGGTGCAGTATACAGTATGTAATAGCCATAATTGTACAGCGATGATATACTCCTGCCAGTACTGGTACAGTACGCATATACTGTATATACTGGTGCAGTATGCAGTATACAGTATATACTGAGTACAATTTGCAGTATACAGTACAGTGAATGCAGCCACTGTCTGACTGACAGGCCAGGTTTTGACACTGTCAAAGGCTGAGCCTGCAGGATCAAACATACATACACTAACTGTGAAATGCACTACATGTTTACCTTGTTATCTACATCTGTATTACCCTAAATGTCATTGGTCAGCCAAGACAAGTTATGTAGTTTTGTTCAAAGCTGTGAGAGTACTGTACAGTGAATCCTCATCAAATAGGGTTCTATGTAGTACCAAAAAGTTCTAAGACTTGTAAAATAGCAGAAGCATTTTGGTGCTGTATAAAACAATTTTCAAAAGATTCTTTAAAGAACTATATGCAACAGATTCTCCCTTATCCACCATTTGTCCTTTTCATGCAAGACTTGGCTGACTGAACATATCTAGGCTAGGGGGAAATAATTGGGGGAAATAATTTGATTGTTAATTAAATTATATTTTTTTTGTTGTTTTTTTGTTTTTTTTTTGCCAAAATGTTTCTTTCCACTCTGCTCAGACTACTTGAAGAACATATTGTGTAAATCAGGTACAGAAGGTTTAGACTGGATGCTTCTTACCTTTGGCAGTCTGTATTTCTCTCTGAGACACACTCTGAGGGTCGCCCGCTCCGCTTTCTTGTGCAGGAAGTCTGCATCTCTCTCCATCCTGAGGGTCAAATCAACAGTGAAAAGGTCAGTTCAAGTCCAGAATACTAAGTCTTAATAAAATTAGCCAATAGATAGACAGATAGATAGACAGACAGACAGACAGACAGACAGACAGATAGATAGATAGATAGATAGATAGATAGATAGATAGATAGATAGATAGATAGATAGAAACACTCTTAAAAAAGATGGTTCCTCAAGGGTTCATAAACCTGTTCTTTGCATCATAAAATGGTTCTTCAGAATGATGGAAGGTGCTGTAGATGGTGCAACGTAGAACCTTTTTGAAATGGGTTCTATATAGCACCAAAAAGGGTTCTACTACTGTGACAATGTCTATCTATCTATCTATCTATCTATGTATCTATCTATCTATCTATCTATCTATCTGTCTATCTGTCTGTCTGTCTGTCTGTCTGTCTGTCTATCTGTCTATCTATCTATCTATCTATCTATTATATTATTAAGACATTCAAAATCAACAATATCAGTCTTAAAAGTCCACAAGCTGGGAGGTAAAAACCTAACACCTATCTACCTCCAAGCCACCTGAAGGCTCCATTTGTGGACGGATTAAAGAGTAACTATTGCCTTCGGCACATTGTTTAAATGCTGTGGCAGCACATCCTGACTCAGTGTGCTTAACTGATGCTGACAACTGATTGGCTTCATCTGTGTGACCCAGCGGCCTGAGCATGTTAATGAGTTTGGTGGAGAAAGGGAAGTCCTGCTACACTTCATACCCAGAAAGAGTTCAATGAAGGCTGTTCACACACCCCTGGTCATGGAAGGCAGTTCAATTCTAAATGTTAATGCGGATAAAACTGAAAATATCAAACTGTACCAAACATGGCACATCCAGAACCAGGATAGAGAACAACTGAGAACAATTACAGCAGAAGCTTTAATCCATTAAACTCTCAGGCGCATTACATCCTATAAGGCTTACTGCTCAGTAACTACATGGACTTGTTGAGTCACTCTTAAATGACTGGAGTGATGAGGGGAAGCCTGGATCTGGACAGTGCAGAGCTCTTAAAGAGGTGTTTAAGATTTGAATACTATGTGCTAGTCCACTAGCCAGTTGAGTGTCTTCAGGGTTTTATGGTATTTATTATAGAACACTTTAAAAAGTGTTTTTTCAAGGTTGTGTGCTCCAACAGTGGTCAGGCCATCGAGTGTTACAGGACTGATCTACGATACGGAGAAACGGCAGTTTAAGAGGAATAAAGGAGGAGGAGTTATAGTGTTAAAACACTATGCAAGTGAACTTAGCTCATTAAACTCTAAGGGCCTGTATGTGCACCCTCAGTGTAACTTCTCACGCTCATAACTGCAATATAAAGTTAAATAAGTTAAAGAAAAACTAATTTTGTAATAAAGTTAACGCCTCAGACTATATTGCTTAATAAGTCCTGTTCTGATACTCAGCTAGAAGAGCATAGTTTCATAGACATGTAACGTTACTACAGAACATTCACAGTAAAGGGGGTTCATTGACTAGAATATTAAATATCAAATATTTTCTTGATATACTTTTTGCTGTTAAAGTTTCAAAATGTACCATTTACTCCATATAGTTTATTTCTGGACACTGAACTGCAGTTCACCATTTTTGTGATGTCATATACATGCATCTGCTAGCTGTTTAGCTCTGTCCATTCACACTGAGGTTATAAGGAGTGTTTCAAAGTGAACTGCTTTTAAAATGAGGCACAATACAAAAACTAAAACCAGACAAAGAATAAAGAAACACCATATAGACAGAGACTACACACGGGTGGCGAAGCATGATGAAGCAGGACTAGGGAAGGAGACGGGATGGGGCGGAGTCATGACACAGAAAGCATGACAAGGATATGAGCCATTTAAGAAGTTAACTGGGTCAATTTTCAGATGTGTTTATTATATGACTGAATGACTTGCTTGAATTATGTTTTAAGAAAATATGGCACATAAATAGTAGAAATGAACTGTGTAATTTCATTTGAGAGGTTTCAATACAAAACACTTTGTAGACCACTTTCATGAATTTTCTTCTTTTTTTATGATTACATTGTTGGGAGTGGGCTTTAAACATTTAAGAAAATCTCAATTCTATATTATGATTAATACCACCTTTATTAGAGAAATAAAAATGTTTTCCATTATATCTCAGTAGGTTTTTCCCGTAAAAACACGTTACATCCAAAATGATTATAAATGGTTGTACAGCATTTTGGAATGAAACTTCATTTATTACTGTGTAATATTTTACATGGAGGCAGATTTAAATGACCTCCAGGGTAAATGCTACAGCTCAGGTGGTGCTAAAGCGCTTCAGGCTGTTTAATCGCATTGTTCAGTCAGCGATGAGGCTCTACCTAAAGCCAGGCCACGTGCACTGCTGTTTTACCGGACACTTAATCACTGTTCAGACAAAGCAGACACTCACACTTAAGGTGTTTTTGGTCAGTCTGTATATTTAGTCTGTACAGTCTGTTTGTTTAGTCTGTATATTTAGACTGTATAGTCCGTTTGTTTAGTCTGTATATTTAGTCTGTATAGTTTGTTTGTTTAGTCTGTATATTCAGTCTGTATAGTTTGTTTGTTTAGTCTTTATATTTAGACTGTATAGTCCATTTGTTTAGTCTGTATATTTAGTCTGTATAGTCTGTTTGTTCAGTCTGTATACTTAGTCTGTATAGTCTGTTTGTTTAGTCTGTATACTTAGTCTGTATAGTCTGTTTGTTAAGTCTGTATATTTAGTCTGTATAGTTTGTTTAGTCTGTATATTTAGTCTGTATAGTCTGTTTGTTTAGTCTGTATACTTAGTCTGTATAGTTTGTTTGTTCAGTCTGTATATTTAGTCTGTATAGTTTGTTTGTTTAGTCTGTATATTTAGTCTGTATAGTCTGTTTGTTCAGTCTGCATACTTAGTCTGTATAGTCTGTTTGTTTAGTCTGTATATTTAGTCTGTATAGTCTGTTTGTTCAGTCTGTATACTTAGTCTGTATAGTTTGTTTGTTTAGTCTGTATATTTAGTCTGTATAGTTTGTTTGTTTAGTCTGTATATTTAGTCTGTATAGTCTGTTTGTTTAGTCTGTATACTTAGTCTGTATAGTCTGTTTGTTTAGTCTGTATATTTAGACTGTATAGTCTGTTTGTTTAGTCTGTATACTTAGTCTGTATAGTCTGTTTGTTTAGTCTATATATTTAGACTGTATAGTCTGTTTGTTTAGTCTGTATACTTAGTCTGTATAGTTTGTTTGTTTAGTCTGTATATTTAGTCTGTATAGTTTCTTTGTTTAGTCTGTGTATGTTTAGGCTGTTCTCCTGCTTTTTGGGGACAATTTCAATTAAAATTTCTTAAAAAATATAGGTTCCCAAAATACAGGTTCCATCAAGAACCTTTCAATTTAAATTCTATAAATGAAAGTGCGTAGAAAGTGCAAGAGTATAGAACATTTTAAAAGGTTGTTTTTCCTATAATTCAATAATCATTTAGAAACCTTATTTTTTTTAAAGAGTGTAAATTTGTTGATTGTTGCACACACTGCAGTACACACGTTCAGGCTGGCATGAACATGTACATGTTCATAATGCAAACATAAACTATTTTATTATTGTCTTATTATTACATATTGATTTCTGATTATTTTATTGTCCTAATTCTAATATTCTACTAAAGAATGTTGTTAGATAAAGGGGCACTCTGGCCTAACACTACATGTTTAAAAATTTTGGTTCTTCAAGGGTTCTTTAATAAAGACAATGGTTCTATATAGAACCATTGCTTAACGGATGCTAAAACGGTTCTTTGCATGGTAAAACTGTTCTTCAGTGTTGTATATGGTTCTATATAGCTCCAAAAGGGTTGCTATATAGAGGCTCCAAGCTTGGCATCGTAACAATAGCAGCACCCTTTTTGGTGCTATACAGAACCATTTTCAATAAGGTTCTACATAGAACCATATACTACACAATCTCCATCAGTCTGAAGAACTCTTTAAGCATTGAGTGTTCATGGCTCTATATAGAACCATTATCTTTACTGAAGAACCCTTGAAGAACCATCATTTTTTAGGAGTGTAGCATTTAATGTTATTAGTCATGTTATGTAATATTCTGTAGTGCAGCTTTGCATCCCTCAGCTTCATTGGTATGACATGATTTTTGTAATCCCTTTTGCATTTTCATCCATAAATGTTCTCTCACTACAATACCCAGAATGCATTGCACACATCTGTTATACAGTCTGTCATACCAATGTAGAAGCTAATAAATATAGACATGATATTCAGCAGTAATGTCAGCTATCTGGTTACCTTCTGCATTTGGTAAACAAAACGAAACATAACAAACAAGTGCCCTCAGGTATCCACCACAAAGTACTTGTAGTTCCTCCCACCTTCAAGATATGTCATAATAAGGGGGTTTTCCTAGTCTTTAACCAGAAAATCTCACTTCAGAGACTCTGACACTACTGTAAGAAGAGAGATGCAGTGATGGGAACATCTTTCCCTTTGGCTGCAGTGTCCCTTTCACAAGTGGTTCACTGCAGGAAAGCTTGTATTTATGGTGGCTAATTAAAGCTGAAGATAATCAGTTTGCCAGGTTCAGGATTAAGAGAGGATACCAAAGTCCTTCTGGGTGAACAGTTCCACACCACACTGTAATTCTCATTTATTTACATTTGGATGTATGTACATAACATTCATCATGATGTGTTTTGGGTAAAGAGATGGTGAACAGGTGGTCATTGCGCCTTGGAGACTTGTTTTATCAGAAATCAAGCATTTGCAACATTTCACCTGTTAGAGATGAAACGAAAGCACTTGTCGCAAATACTGATCAGTTTAGAGTTTTAATTTGGAAACATCAATACTAAAATGTGCCTTTTTTAAAGGATTGGGGGATTGCATGATGACAATGCATGCTAAATTATCTGCTGCTTTCTCCTAAAGAAAGAAATACAAGCTGATGTACATGTCTATTCATATCGCTGTTGTCGGAAGAAAACCTTGTATCTCCAAAATGGTAACTTTACAGGAGAAGGAAAAAACATACTTCACTTGTAATGTAAGTCAATGGAACCAGACATTTTTCCAAGTCATTTTGGGTCATTTCTTTTTGTCCATTTTTCATGAAATTTACACACAATGTAAAGGACAATAGGCATTTTCAAACTGTGTCAAAAACTGAAAAACGACAAAAATGACGATACAAGGTTTTGTTTTGACGGCAGCATTATACTGATTTTGCTGTATCTTTGAATCTTTGAAGGGCTATGCATAGTTTGTTTTTATTCCAAAAAAGTAATTTTTTACCTTTTATAAATATACACTGATTACTTAATTCGCAGTATAACTGACGGTCAGTCACAGGTCTAGTTTATTTTTTAAATGTGTCCTACAGCACCAGAATATGCCCAACTAAGACTGTCTTTTACTCAGAGAGAGAAATATCAAATGTCACAGGGTGCAGGGTTAATCTCATTATGCAACACTTTCCTTTCGTACTTACATTTAATGAAAATTGCATTAGATACAATTAATTTCTTCCCTTGATCAGTTGTGCCTCAAGAATGGATGACTGAAATTAATTTTACTTAATTTACATGCATAAATGTACATTATTTAAATGTAAAATAATAAAAAAGTTTGCTTTGTGTCAAAATTCATAGTCTATGATCATTGTTATGGGTATATGCCTTGTGTGGGCCTATGTAATGGTCTTACATAACCATCTTTCAAAATGTCTGCCATCAGTCGCACTGCAAACATACATCAGTGTAGGTTAACAACATTACTAAGCAGGCCAAAATGACCAAACATTAAGGCATAAACAATCAAATGCCAAACATGCAAAGAATAAAAGTTAAATTTGCTTTTGTTAAACTTTGAATTTGACTTTGTAGTAAATACAGCAGTGTGTAATATGAACTATATGCTTTATAATGCATTAGAAAGGTCCCATTTCAGAGATGGGCTTTGTTACCGTGGTGATATTATGCAAATTATGGTATAAATTATGCTGATTATTCTCATTCTTTTTACTGTGATTTGAAAATATGTGTTTTAGCTTAGCTAGTCCTGTTCTTATGGCTGATTAGCTCATGACAAGCTTTTTCATCTTAAACTTTATATACATTATAATGTCTAGGACCCATGTTGAGTTAGTTATAATGAATTGGGACTATATAAATTATCACATGCCAACATACAGCTGGCCAGCAATAAATGCTAAAATATGTATTGATGTAATAGAGAATTTTATTATTTTTATTTTTATTCATGATATTATTGTGTTGTATTAATAATATTATTGATCTATTACTGATGTAATAGAGAATGTTCATGTTAAAATTGATCACTAATTTCAGAAAAGCATTGAACTCCTCAACATGGCGGATGACTGATGCCATCAGCAGAGGGAAAGATTACAGATGATGGGATTATGTAACAGTGCTTTGTAGCTTGGATGCACATCATAAAAACAGGCTTCTTCTACTTTTCTATTCATTTTCTTTTACAAGCAAAATTAAAGGAAGCAGCGTTAAGAAAATGCAAGAAAATGAAGCCAAACCTATATTAATCACATTCATTCAACCTAAACAATGAAATATCTCATGTCTCAAGAGTGAGAAAAAAATAATAAAAAACAAAAATGGGCACATTTAGGCACATTTTTTTCAAGAAATGAAAAAAGGAGGTTATTTGACTTTTAATCTATAAATACAGACGTTAATAGAAATTACATTCATGTTGACGTAACAAAGTCCTTGTATGCTTATTGTGAGCCATTATTCAACAACTTAAATTCACACAGTTAAAAGAAGTTTGTACAGTGATTTACATTCATATGTTTGAGTGCAACTTAACAGGCCGTTATTGTGCTCCCTGAAGCCTGTGAAGGTCAGACAATGGCGGCACTACACAGATTGAATCTGTGATAGAAAGTAAAAGCTGCAAAGCACAGATCTCTACTCACTTCTCCTCCACCAGCTGTTTCTGGTACTCCTCATATTCTTCTCTAGTCATTCCTGCGGCTGCTGCGGGGTCTTTGGGGGTCTCCGCTTCGGCCTTCTCCTCTCCTCCCCCAAGACCCATGCCCTTCAGAGGGTTCCCCACCATACTCTTGATGAGAAAAGCCATTTTTTATCGTCCCACTGGAGCCTGTAGCTGGATATCAGAGGTCAAAGTGAGACGCCTTTAGATTTTCCGTATTTTTGTGTGAAGGCCTTTGGTCCGGGTGGTGAAAGTGAGGAGAGTTGCTAACCAAACAGCCTGACTGTGCTATGAAGGGTGTACTGATGGAGGAGAGAGAGAGAGAGAGAGAGAGAGAGAGAGAGAGAGAGAGAGAGAGAGAGAGAGAGGTCGGGCTAAGGCTGTAATCTGGATTAAGCTACGGCTTCTACTTTATTCAAAGGCAGATGGCTACGAGTTTTTCCCTCCTATTCCATCCAGTCCAGCACACAGCCTCACTGGGTCCTGCTATTGATCAGTTATTACCAAAAAGCAGAAGACGAACAGACTGATTGGTTGAGCATGAATTTGGAGTAGTTCAAAATAAATGGTTCTTGTCTTGGATCTTCGGTTCTAAGAAAAAGCGGCTCAATTGGCTCCGTCCTCAAGGCCTCCATATTGCTTATGTTTTTGCGCCATTCCTATGTTTTGTGGTTCTTCTATGCTGTTGCTTCAAAAAAACCCTTTTTGCTATATTTCAATATCATGATATTTTACAAATATTATACTTAAGTTTGCACTAATAAAGTTAACGGCTGCTGCTGATCTATACCAAAAAAATGACTTTTTTTTTTTGTTTTCTTAACATTACACAAAAGGAATTTTTACACAATTTCGTAAATGTTACAATATGTCCTCATTTGTCATTTACAGACAGGACATTTACATTTTCAACAATTCTTTTAAAAAATCTGAAGCACCCAGAAGTGCTAAAGTCTTTTTGTTTTTGTAATCTAGCAATACAGATAAAACAGAAAAGTAATACTGTTGTACAAAACCAGTTCCAGTATGATAGCACAGACAATGCATTGGCCAGTGCTAGTTTGGTTATTTTGTATTCTGTTTCCGCTGAACACAGGCTAATCACATTAGTTAATGAAGTGACCAGCCAATACAGAGCGACTACAGAGCTCACAGATCATCCATATATAACCTGTGTGAGGCCAGAGGGCAGTAATAATACACCTGTTTGCCTGTTCCACCTGGCCACTGACCAATGCCCTGCTTACCTACAACACTAGAGCCCATTTTATGATAGGAATGCTAACTTCATTTTTTGCCCATTATGTCCTAATTAGGACTGCACAATACATAGCTGGACAAAATATTATAAGAGAATAAATTGAATTATCATTAAAATTGGATTATCATCATTGGTCCAATACTGGAAATACAGGCAACGGTTACGACAGTCGTCAATGGGAAAAATACACAAAAGACTTATATGAACCAATATGAACCAAATTTTAAGTTGGCTTGAAAAAACCAGCTAATAATGTTGAAAAGTGAAAGCACTGTTTTTAACTTAATTGTTTTTTGTGAGTTCAGACTATGCCTTCAACATGGTGGTGGTTTTATGAGGGAAGACTGAGTTTGGGAGGGGAAGAACTCTGAGAACTTGGGCTGGAGTCCTGAACAGCTTCTCCCTGTAGCTAGAAGGCCAGACACCCCCCCCTCCAGACCCTCATAGCTGTAGTAGGACTGATGCAGGACTAGGCCTGAGGAACTGGGAGGAGATTGGGTGGCAGTGGGAATTGCAAACATTCCGTTACAGGAACGGAAGGTGAGGATTGGAGGGATTGGTGTTAGATTGGAAGAAGGAGGGGTTTCAGGCATGTTCCTCCCCCAAAACTTCAGTTATAACATAATTACATTTATATAGTACTGAATAAATCAAGGTAGCAGGTTCTTAATGCTGAGTTTATGTGGCTGTTTTTGCGTTATTTTAAGTCAAAATGGGTCATTTTTATTTTTGGTTGTTTAAACAGTCTTTGATAGGTTGTTCCAGGTGTTGTTAAGGGTTGTTCCAGGTGTTGTTACATGATGAGTTGAATCAGATATGATTAATGAGGCAGAATACTGAAGTCTGCAGAGCTGTGACCTGTGAAGACTGGAGCCTGACACTGAAAAATTTGCTAGGGTGTTGTTATGCGGTTGCTGAAGTATTGGAGGTGGCTGCCAAAGTGTTATTAGCTGGTTGTTATACTATCTCTGTTGGATGCTAAGCTTTTGCTAGAGGGTTGCTATAGTGTTCCAGGTGATTTATAGGGTATTACTGTGTTTGTCACCTCTTGTGATTGCTAGGGAGCTGCTAGGTTGTTGCTATGGTGTTGCAATGGTATCCAGGTGGTTGCAAAGCTGCTGTTAGTGTACTTGTATCATGGTGACATAAGAGGGGTGCACACACATTTGGCCACATACAGTAGAATGACTGCAGTGGAATAAAAGGCATATAGAAGAAAAATGATTCGGTTTCAGGATGCTGAACATTCCTCCATTCATTCCTCAGCGGAAAAACATGTGTTTAAATGGATGTTGTATAAAAGTCATACATCCGATGATCAAGATATATGTATTCAAGTATAGGTACGTTTGGTGGGTTTAGCTCAAAAGCTGTAGAAGGAGTAACATTTACAAATTTCATGCAGAACAATAAAAAAGAACTCTTTATTATGCTAATAGGCTATTCAAAAGCTCATCAAAGCAGTTATTTATATTGTCTCAAGTGCACGTGTCAGACTCCAGTCCTCACGGGTCACAGCTCTGCAGACGTCTCTGCAGGTAATTAGCAAGACCTTCATAAGTTGAATTCAAAGTGTCCAGTCCTGGAAGGAACCCAGTTTGATATGCTTGTTATAGAGCACATAAGGCGGCTGGCGTTTTAATGTGTCTCACGCCTCATGAACTTCATATGTGGGTTATAGCATGAACTTCAATCTTAGCAAAAAGGTTCTATGTAGTACTAAAAAAGGGAAGGTTTGGTTTGTGGCAATAGTGGAACCCTTTTTATGGTGCTTTTTTTCTCTTTAAAGAACCATGTACAACAGATTCTCCATCATCGAGAAGAAAAATTTAACCATGCAAAGAATCATTCAAATAGTTCTTTGAGTTGTCATGGTTCTGTATATATCTCCACTGCCTTTACTAAAGAACCCTTGAAGAACCTTCTTATTATAGGTGTTGTTTTAAAATGCAACAAAAGTATTTATTTATTTTGCTATCAGCCAAAACAAGGTGTTCATTATAGGTTATTATCATTATTGGCCCAGAAAATCCATATTGCTACATTTCTAATCCTAATGTGCAAAAGTTTGGGCGCCCTTGGTATATTTAATGCACACTTTCTTCAGAAAAATGTTGAAGTTTGTTCTCTGAGGAGGTGTTATGTAAAAAAAAATTACAAAATGTGTAATTTGGCTATTTTTTGCATATAACTGTATATGACAGACAGCATGATATAAGCATCATATATGAGCACCATAAAATGGTCCAGCAAATGGCACATATAAGGAGACAAACATGTCCGGAATTTGTGAAAACAGGTTGTAAACAGAACTGAAGTTAACACATCACAGTGACATGTGCACCAATGTGAATCTGTTTTACTTTTTACTTAAGTCTGTCCATTTTGTTGGGTGATTATCTCTCATTAATGCTGCTTTAGTGTCAGAATGGGGCCTGTGGTCACCACTACAAGGTTAAGGCACTTAAAGCAATAGGGAGTCCATTGTGTTCCCATGATCCTCGTATTGCTCCTTTGTTAGAACAGCACAAAGATGAACATAATGAAAACACAAATTGAGGCAACAGAGATGAATAGAAGGTCTTTTAACAGGGGGAATTGTGGGTAACCTTCCCCATCTCTATCTAATTTCCTTATTCTGCATTTGGCTGACAATGCGCTCGCCTTGAGGACGCATTGTTAAAGCTTCTCTGTAAACAGTACACACTTAAGGATTGAGTCTGAGAGGAAGAAACATGAGGGCTGATTCACAAACAGCCACATACAGTTGTGCAAAAAAACATTTAGCATCATGCTAACTACATGCCTAAGTCATCACAGTTGCTTGTGTGATTTTATGACAGGCTGTTGTGTCTTGAAGCCTCAATTTTGTCATACAGTGTAAGAAGCCACATAAGCAAGTCTATTAGAGACTAATTAACTGAAGTGTCTGATAATTTACCCTGTGTTCCCATGTGGAAAAAATAAATGGATATGTATTTTTATGTATTTGAAATACGTGTCAAATTCACACCAAAATACATTCCAAACACTACAATGTATTTCAGAATTTACTGCCATATTAACCAAATCTATTTTAAAATACATTGATCTTAAAATGTAGGAGGGAAAAATTACACACAGTAATGTACCATACAAAAATAAATGTGTGTAAATGTATTTATCAAATACATTTAAAGATGTATGAAAAAAGCCAAAATACTGTCTAATGCACTTCACTGTCTGGATAGCTTTTAAAATGAATTTGTATTCCAGTATCCTAATTTTAAATATGAGCAAATGAACCTTTAACATGACAAAAGCAAGTGTTGTAGGTATTGATACTCTGAGAAAATCCAGTTATTATTTGATGTCTTGTTTATTTGAAATGCACTGTGTGTGAGTGTCTTACTGCATATGTACATGGTTAATACAAAGTATTTGTTAAAACAACATACAACTGGAAAAATATGATAACAAATACAATATATATATGTATATATATATATATTATATATATATATATATATATATATAGATAGATAGATAGATAGATAGATAGATAGATATAAAAATAAATTTTTTGGCCATTTTATACATTGCAAAGATATATTTGATTACTACATCTTGAATTTATATTTTTTTCTATATGGGTTCACATTAACAGCCAATGGAGCGACAAGCAACCAAATCATTTCCTACAGAGGTAGGTGAGGTAGCTGAAATTCAGCAACAAGTGACGTGGCAGCAAGGCAACGGGGTGAGAAATCGAGTGGAGATTTTCTAAACTTTATGCAAATGAAGTATGATGCGGCGAAGCTTCAGTCTAAGTGACTGGGTCCAACAAATTCTACAGGTTTTATGAGCTTTCCAGTCCGTTTTCATTCCTGTTCCCAAAAGTGTCATG